GATGAGATCATATCCTTTCCGTACATGGTCATGATGTAAGCTGCAGCAACGAAAGCTGACCGGTCGTTTCCAGTTTCGCAAACAAGGAGAATCTTGCCACTCCTGAAGCTTTCATCATCGACTGCCATCCGGCCTTCCTGCGCACCCACAACTTGACTGCGATACACGTCGATCAAATGCCCATTGATTTTCCTCACCACCTCTGGGAAGCCACGGATCAATTCAGAGTTGTCCAAGACGTCTAAATATTCGACTTGTATGCCGAGCTTCTGCGCTACCTTGTCGACACTCATCAGTCGAGCTTGAGCCACCCTGGCATGTCGTGTAACAATGACCATGGTGATTCCCTCCTTGGCAAGCCAAGCTTCGTCGCGAGCAACAGATAACGGACCGAGATATAGGAAGTCCAGGAGCGTCTGTGCCTTTCGTCGAGCCTCGTAGTTCCAGCCAACTGACCTGTCTGTGGCAGTCTGTGTCTTGTCCCGAGTTATGATCCTGAGATCCTCGCTCGTAAGGCGCATGGCATCGACATTGTTGAATGAGGGGGTAAAGGCGCAAGTAGCGTTGCCTTTAGCAAATGTCATGGGAATGGGTATATAGGGAGGACTGGGGGGTCTGTGGCTATACGGAGCTGTGGCGATGGCATGCTCTTTCGGCTCCTGGGGTTCCTCCATGTTTGCTGATGCTCAATGCGGGGTTTAATGAAAAGCAGTCGGCAATGAGATGTGTTTCGTTGCGGGAGTGCAAGACGCACTGACTCGAGGCAAGCAGTGCAAGGTGCCTTTGTTCGCAGTGTTCGTATGTTGCTTATACTGTCTTGGCACACAAGCAAAGCTAGATTGCCGAAAAGTTGATCAAGCGAAGGAATGGGAATCAAAGCAACGTTCCGGGCCCAGTTATGAGTGAAATCGAAAAGGATAAGACGTTGGCTGAAGCGGTGGTGGTTTGGATGATGTTGATGTAAAGTTGAGAGGTGGAGTAGGAAAGTACAGAATCTGGGTTGCAGGCTTGCGGGAGGTGTCGTATCGGCAGACTGGGCCGGAGCGAGCTTAGACCCCCTGTGCGGCGGGCGTCTGTACATACAAACCCGCCCCACTCTGAAGCCTAGACCCATCGGAGACGTCCTGGAAGCAACCTGACCATGTGCCAATCCCAATTCCAACGTCGCTTCCCCAGAGCAGAACCTTTATGGAACGGTTACTTGCCGTCGCATGCACGCCAGTGACATCACCTCAGTATACTCCTTACCTGCCAAGGTTCGCAAGTGTACCTTAAGGCAGGAACGAGGGCAAGACTGCAGTTGAGAGGCATCTTTGGGCGGGGCCCATGCAGCTAATTTGATTAGATAACCAGGCGACTGACTTATGCAGGTACCTACTTGAGTTTTCTGGAGACCTTAGTCGAGCCATCTTTCCACGGAGCCTCCCAGAGATGGCAACCTGCCTCTTAGACCGTGTCAAGTCAAGTCATTGAGAGTTTAATTCAAGCTGACTTTCTCTGTCGCCAAAGAAGACGCCAGTGGGCGACCAGGACCACTTGCTGACCGTTCGTTGAGCCAAAGCCTTCACTGGGATATCAACTGTATGACTGAATGCAAAATGTAAGCTTGCCGCACACCAAGACGCAAAGGCGATGCTGCTCTTCTTTACTAGACAATCCAGATAGCGAGTCTAATCCGATAGTGTAATGAATGAGGGTTTCAGCCTGTATCAGAAATAACTTCCGTGTAGACTTATTAGTGAAAAATGATACCAATCAAATATCGATATCTCGCCATCCGCCTATGGGTCCCTCCTTCCAGGTTCCGGATGAACTGTACTGTTGATGATGCGGCCGCCTTTTCGTAGCAAAGAATGACTACACGCGATTGCTGAACAGCTGCTCGAAAGCCCGCCATTCGGCTTTACGGACTACCCTCTCTGCCGTAAATGGGCCGGAAAATAAGAGCGCCAAAGGGCAATTCGATCATATAAGCAACTTCCACGGGCGAGCATGATGAGACGTATTTTTATCGCATGAAAGCATCATCTATTCAAAATACGTAGGGCATCATAACTAATATCATGCGTATGCATCATTCATCCAGCCGTTTACAACTCCTCGGAAACCTGGCCTTGCTTCTCCAGAGCGGCGAAGTCGGTGAAGCCAAGCTCGTACACGAGGCCAAGAGTCATCTTGGCGTGCTCAAGCATGTGGTCAAACGACAAGTACTTAATGTTGTCATCGGTGCTGTGAATGTGCTTGTCAGAGTCCTCGAAGGCAGACTCGATCACGAAGGCGGAGGGGTAGCCAGCCTTGCTTGCAGAGGCATGGTCGGAGCAGGCGTATCCACACTTGGTCTCGACGTAGGGAACCTTGCAGTACTGCAGTTATGTGAGTACAAGCTCGTGCCAGCAACTATGGGGTTCATTTTGACTTACCTCGACGATGACCTTCTTGATGAAGCCGGTCAAGCCGGGATCAACAAAGTCGGTAATGACACCGACGCTCTCAGGCTTTCCAGCATCGAGCGTTCCTTGAACAAATCCAGTCATGTCCTGCTGGAGCATGGCCTTGATGTCGCGTCCATCCTGCTCGTAGGACGAGAAAATGGCCTGGCTACCAAGCAGACCGCCCTCCTCGGCGCTGTACCAGTGGAACTCGATGGTGTTGTCAGCCTTGCCAGAAATGACATCCTTGGACTTAAGGAGGGTGCGGAAAGCCTCGAGAATGGTCATGGAACCACTGCCATCGTCATCGGCACCGGGCGCGGCGAGAATGGAAGGCAGCCACAGGTTGATGGAATCCTGGTGCGCACCGATGACGACGGTGCTGTTAGACTTGCCCGGGATGGTGACAATGATGGAGCTCTGTTGCCAGGTGTGGGGGAAGGCCTCGGCGTAGACGTGCTTGTCGGCACCAGCGTCCTTGATGATGGTGTTCAGCTTTGCCAGAAGCCATTCGGAAGACTGGCGGCCGTAGTCGGACTTGAAGTAGCGGGTGTGGAAGCTCGTGAACTTCTCCAGGTTGGTCTGGATCTCCTTCTTGTCAAGGTCCTTGATGAGAGGCTTAACCTTGTCCTGGAGGCGACACTTCTCGGGGAAGACGCTCTTCTTCGTCTTGGTGTGGAGGCGGTTTGCACCGAATTCCTTGTGGTCGGTGATATCGAAGAAGCGGTTTCCGTTCTGCGAGGCGTCATGTCAGCACTTCTGCAAATAAAAGGAGCGGTGATGAGGGGAACCGTACTCTACGAAGCTCCCACTTCTCCTCCTCAGTCACCCAGCGAGTGTTGCCTGGGGCGAGTTCGATCAGGTACTTCTCGGGCTCGGAGCCGGCGGGATACAGCTGGACACGGTTGATCTCCTCCTCAGCAACAAAGCGAGCGCTGACCGAGTGGGCCAGCACGGCAAGAGGCAAAGCTTTGGCGACCTTCATCTTGAATGAATAGTATGGGTTGGTGATGATACAATCTGGGGATGATGTGGGAGGTATGTAAGGTACTCAGGTGGATGTTGTTGAAGGGGACGGGAAGATGGCTGGCGTCATGTCGGCAGCACTGATAGGTGCCTAGATAAGATAAGGTAGCTAAGCGTCAGCAGCTGGAGGTCTGCGACAGCTGGGCAAGCTCCCCTGTCTCGAATCCATCCTCACACATTCCCCGCGGGTTGCCTGGGTGCCTGGCACGCCACCAATGCTTGCAAGCGGGTACCTTGCCTCAGGTACGTACCTCGGATGTCCGTAAGACCGGAACAGATGAGATGCCTTACCTAATCATCCAGCTCCCATCCAGTAGGTACCTGACTGAACAGTTTCCTTCGCCTTCATCTGGCAACACACAGTTATGTAAAGTTGCCACTGCTATAACATTGTTGACGGGTTCCTTGAAAGATTCAATCTCGCTGTTTCGCAGCGTGTTTCCTGCAGACAACGTGGGTTATTATTACCCTTCTGTTTTAGGCGGACCCCCAAGGTATTCGGGCGACCCGATGGAAAGCTCCAAGGTAGGTAGGTACCTTACGGCTTACCTTTATGAGCAACTTTCGGCTCAGCGAGCCAATCAATGCGGGCACCTTGTGATCATGCTTAGCCATCAGTCACCCTGAGATTCTTCATCGCCTCCCGCCAAAAAGGAAAGAAGAATACATGCAACACCAGGCATTCGCCGGTCGTCTCCGACCCGACTACTACTCTGGCCCTCGCCGGTTTATCTAGGAGAGAGCGGACGGGATCTCGAGTTCTCCAGCGGGTGTGGTCGCATGTACTTGGGTTGGCGCCTGGGGAAGGCCAATTCCGCATCGCACTGGGCTACCGGCACTTACTGCTGACGGATGCTGGAGCGTGTCGGAGCGGGTCTACGTGCCCCATAATGTCTCGGACTCGGCGTCTGGTCCGTTGGAGGATCGCGGGGCCTCTCTGTACTTAGTAGGCACTCATCGGATACCTTGACTACTTACCCAAAAGATGCTGAAAATTCTGTCGTAAGATCATTAGACCCGTAGCCCAAAATTAATCGCATGGTGGGTTTGTCAGCATGAAAAGACACACACGGTATCACCCGTTTCCAAGCCTGCCCGTCGTCCCGTTCGTGTGGAGCTTCGGTGCTCATCGGACACCAGTACCGACTTACCTCTTTAAGCTCGTCTGAACACCAAACATCGACAGCCGCTACCTTACAACATGGAGTGCTGTCCCGAACTTCCGACAACGTTTAATGGGCGAACAGACGCCGGGCTTGGACCTGTTCCTTTGCCATCCTCAGGCAGTAAATGATATCATGAGGGGAGCAACCGCAGGTTCCCCAAGCACATCCCCGCCGCGTGTATAAAGTGCCGGTTGCAGCCGGCGCGCATTCCTAGTGAGATGACCTGCATGTGTTCCTCCTGCATTCGTCCGACCTTGTGAGCCAAGCTAGGTAGGCTCACGATATATCTCGACGACATCTCTTGAATCTAGCCATCTCACACACCAGCACCACATCCATCTAAGCTCAATCGCGCACGAAACGAGTGCTGCCTTCTAAGATGGCGGCCTCCAAATCCGAGAAGCCAAGCTTCGACCTCATCAAGCGCGGCGTCAAAAAGTCCAATGTGCCAGGAACCCTCACCTTCCTCGGCCTCCGCGGTCTCGACCCCTTCTTCCAATACAAGCTCGTCGCCGGCGGCTGGGGCGCCGCCGCCCTCGCCAAAATCGGCATCAACACCATCCCCCTCAACGTAGCCGCCCTCTCCACGACAGGCGTCGCCATCCTCGACGACCTCCACCTGCCGCTCCCGCACCTCATCCTCCTCGGCATGTCCGTCGGCTCCTTCGTCAAACAAGCCTACTGGCTCGTCGGCATCTCCGCCGAGGAATTCCCGCCGTCCTCCGCTGTTGGCGTGAGCTTCTACAACACCCTCGTCAACAGCGCAAACTCCCTGCTCCTCCTCGCGGCGTCCACCTCCGTCCTGACCTCCCCGCGCGACTTCCCGGGTACCTCTCTCCCCTACCAGGTCGTCTTGGGAAGCGTCCTCTACGGCGTCGGCATGTTCCTCGAGACGGCGTCCGAGTGGCAGCGCAAGCAGTTCAAGGCCCGGCCCGAGAATAAGGGCAAGGTCATGCGCGGCGGGCTCTGGAAGCTGGCGCGGCACATCAACTACGGCGGGTACGCGCTCTGGAGGGCGGGGTACTGCATGGCGGCGTCAGGCTTCATCGGGGGTACGATCATGGGCGTGTGGCAGGCGGTGGACTTCCTCACGCGCGGCGTGCCGGCGTTGAATGAGTACTGCTCCAAGCGGTACGGCGAGCAATGGGTTGACTTCAAGAGGGAAGTGCCCTGGGTTCTGCTTCCCGGTATTTACTAGTTTGCCGTAGATGGTACAACCATAATACTTTTCCCACATATGCAATCGCTGGTGGCCTTCTGGGAACAAGTATGGCCAAATGATGAGAGTCTGAAATGAATCCCGATCATCGAGATGTGTTGTCTTGACTGAGCCGAAGAATCATGTCTTGAACGAGGCTGGTTTATATACATAGACCTTTCGGCCAAGATATGCGAGTTTCCCGTAATGCAGTCCTGCCGTAGCATCATAAACGAACCCAATGCTCATGAAAAGACGAAAAGGGGGCCGTTGGCGCATGCCACCACCTAGATACCCCGGACGGGTAACATATAAGAAACAAGTGAGCCCCCTTTTCCCAACAGCTACAGCCATGACGCAGCCCAAAGCTGGCAGCAACCCAGTCAAAAAGGGGACGGCCAAACGGGGTAAAATGCCTTCCCTCTGACGTTAAAACAACGCTCGCTTCTACATGCTGTCCTCCATCTGCCGACTCCGGACCTTGGCCCAGTCGTCGCGCTCCTTCTTGCCGCCCTGCTGCTCCAACCCCATACCGCGCTCAACCCACTCCTTGCTGCCCATGTGACTCAGACGCGACAGCGCGCGCGCAAACGCAAACGCCTCCTCGTCTCCCGAGAACAGGCCCGACATGCCCTTGATGGAATCAATATTATGGTCCAGGTCCTCCAGGAGATGCGTCGCCGCCGCGGTATCACCACCGCTCTGCTGCTGTCCGGCCTCGTCCTTCTTCCCTTGCTTCTCCAACGACTCCTCCAGCTCGGCGCGGGAGACGAACAGCTCCGTCAGCGGCTTCTCCGTCGTCAGCACCAGCTTCGCGTGCGACTCGTACACGGCGTCGATGAAGGTGATGAAGCGTCGAGCGAGGTCGCGCTGGCGGTACGTCATGCCGGGACAGTCGGTGATGACAAAGGCGTCGTAGTTGCGCACCAGCTCGAGGTAGTCCGCCGCCGACGTGGCCTTGCCGATGAGCTCGTCAAAGGTGAACCACGCGCAGCGGCCGCTCACGCGCGGCACGTGGATCTCGCGGCCCCAGACGTTCTGCACCTCCGGGTGCGGCTCCGGGTTCTCCGGGTCGCCGAGGAAGCGGAACCACTTCTCGGCGTGGGAGGTCGCGTGCGCGTCGAGCGGTGTGTGGTACACGCCCGAGGGCGGTCTCGGGATCTTGCGGTAGTCTGTCGGGGAGTCCAGGTTGATGACGTGGAGCCTGCTCTTGAGCAGCTTGATCGCGGGGATGAAGGATTCTCGCTGGATGCCGTTCTTGTAGAGTTCGTCGGGGTGTCGGTTCGATGTCGTGACCAGTACGACGCCATGTGACATGAGCGCTTCTAGTAGCCTGCCCCCCCGGTGTGTCAGTTTGCGACAGTGTTCCCTCTTCTCGCGCGGTTTCCCTTTCTAGCTCACCTTCTCAGAATCATGGCGTCTGCCACGTCGGTACACTGAAACTCGTCGAAACAGAGAACGTTGCCCTGCGCCGCGATCTGCGCTGCCACAAAGGGAACGGCGTCGACGTCGTTGCCGTGCTGCATCTTCATCTTGTGTAGCCGCTTGTGGACATCCTGCATGAAGTTGTGGAAGTGGATGCGCGTCTTGGTCTTGACGGAGCTCGGCAGCGTGTCGTAAAACAGATCCATGAGCATCGTCTTGCCGCTACCGACATCGCCAAAGAGGTACAGTCCGCGGGGCAAGTTACTCGGGATCGCTCCTATCGCAGCCTCGGCAGCCTTTCCCCCGCCGAACCAGGATCCGAACATTGACTTTGCCGGCTTGATGGACTCGAGAGTCGGCTGCTTCACTTCGGGCGCATGGTAGTTGACCAGCTCGTCGTGGAGGTGCTGGAGGCTCTGAATGATACCTGTCCCTCGTCAGCATGTGATTCTCCCCCCCTGCCAATGTCGGCTCCTGGGAGCGCAAACTTGCCCCTCTGATGCTCGTCGTTGCGCAAAATGCCGTTGTCGACTCGGCGGTCGTATTCTTGTATCGGGCCGTGTTCATCTTTTGCAGCTGCCTTCTCATTAGCCCCCCTTGCGCCACCAAACTGTTTTCGCGATTCTGGTTCCCTACCCCTGTTTCCCTCTGTTGCTGTCGCTACCGCCGAAGCCGTCCTCCTCTGGCCCCCATTTCTGGTTTGTTGCGTAAGGATACTCGGTAACGGACGCAACCTTCCAGCGCTTGTGTTGTGTCTATTAGCAAGGCAAGTTGTGCAAAGGGAGCGTCGGTTGACGGCCTGCTCTGTGATGCCTCGGGTTCGGGCGGCAGAGCCGTTGAGCGATGTGCCCACTCTGCGGAGGGGAAGTGAGGATGCAGCTGCACGGCGCATGGTGGCTGGTCAAGAGGGACCAAGGTGAACAAAAGTCAAATGGAGAAAAAAAAAGTCTAGGGGTATTAACAAGAACAATGCATGTTGCAAGCATGCGCGCGCTGTGAGATGATCGTTGTCGCAGTGTTTTGGGGACACAACCAAGCGGCTTCGGAGATGTCTCGTGGGATTGAAGGTGTGTGTGAAATCAACAAAAATAGACTGGTCGGCCGGTAAAAGATACCGGAGAAAATGACGCTATTGCCTGCCCGCGGGCCGGCTCTCACAACTGGCGCCCGAATTGACACTAGCACTGGAGAGACGGTGGAGAACCTATAAGAGGCCCTGATGCCTCTATCCGCCGTAAATTCGACGGTGGGGAAGCCGAAAGATGCCGAACTCCGGACCATGCCGACTTCGGTCTGACTGACTGGATGGCTGCTCACCGAAGGTGAGGTTCCTTAGGGTGACGCTCAGGCCATGATCTGACTTCCAGTTCGTCTCTTTCCTCCCGAGCTTTCATCTGAGGAGAGGATTGGCACTGGCCAAAAACGAATTGGAAGTATTGCTCAAAGTGGTAGATGTTTCTTTGGTGGTCTTCCTTTCTCATTTACCCTGAACTTTGTCTAATTGCATATCGTCTCGAAGGAATCGAGATAGGCAAAATAACCGTGTTATTCACGACAGCTCATCAAGCAGATTCCATAAAGACGCCGACGAGCAACCAGGGAACGAGTGTTCCATCTAGCCTGCCCATATCTTTATGATTTCACTCATATGTAAAACGTTTCTTTTTGAGAAGCGGACTTTAAGTACATGCATCATATCATCCTAAGCCTTTTTGTTCAGGAAAGCGAGCTTACCTCGACCAAGGTTCGCTGGGAAAAATGTTAAACAACAAGACGACGCGAATGAAGAATCGACAAAATGATGTACTGCTTAGTATCGCTTGTGGCGCATCTCGCTTATGGTCAAAGGCAGGGAGAGAGGCAAGCGATCTAAGTTCTGTTCACACATACATAGTACTCCCTGTGCTACCAGTCAAGCTACCCGCCTGTAGCTCATTCTTGCATCATATTGTTAGATGGTCGCGTTGAAATTCTATGTTTTTATAGATCAAAGAACTGTCATTTTGTGGATGTCGATGTAGTCCGGGATTACTGGATATGCTTGCTTCCAGGAAATGGGAGGGGCGGGTCAGGGATCCTCGATCCGTGTCATCTACCTGCTCAAGTATGCTGGAGCAAACACTGGCAAGTCTGTTCGAGTTTCATTGCGCCCAAGACCTATAACCATCCTTCTGTATATGTGGATAGAAATGTGAAGACTAAAGGTCCTCGCGGCTCGTCTCGCTACCTCAAAGAAGACAGCGGTAATTATAACCTCCGTGGCATGATCCAGCCTCATAGCCCCTAGATCCGGTACCGTTGAGCCTGGGAGTAACATGCTCTCCGACTTTTCAGAGCCACATTACCCTCTTATACATAGAATGGCCAAGACAACTCAAAATCCCCAGCAAACTTTCCTTCATCTATTTTTACCCTAATTTGCGTAAGTCCAAGAGGTGAAGCTACACAGTTGGATGGAACACTTACAACATTACTCACATATCACTATTCTCCCGTTCTTCAATCTTAGTTAAAATTGGGAGAAAAGCCTGTCTCTGAGCCTGCCCACGCCATAAACATAGGTTCGCGAAAAGGGGGGGCCACTGCGAGGTTTCGATCCTCCAAACATCAGCGGTCCTTCCGCGCCCCGCCAGCCAGCATACCTTTTGCAGCTCTTTGCGACATCGCGCCCGTCTGGGCAAGAGCTTCGCCGTCTTATGCATCAGACCCTCGCGAATGACGCGTCTATATGGCTTGTGGAATCAGTGAAAGGGATGGGGGGGCACCCCAAGCACCCACGCACTCAACGCACTCTCGCCGATCTTTGGTCGGCAAAGGGGCTGGCCGGATGGACAGGCCGCAGCACAACATCGCGAACGCTGTGCAACATCACTAATGCAGTAGGAAGAATGAGGCATTGAGAGGGGGTCATTGCTTTGCTTTGTCACAAGCATACCTATGGCTTGATTCTGATCCTTCATTCTCACAATGAGCTGACTGAAGCATCCTCTCTTGTGCAGATTGCAGCTTGAGCTGCTTGACAACGCCTCGTGTCTAGAACGAAGGCTGTGTGTGGTCTGGGAAGCGGTCTGCCCGCTTCGACCCTCCCTAGCCCAAAGTCTAGAAGTTGTTGGGCTTGAGAATCAGTAAATCCTGAATCCCGGGACGGGTCTCAGAGGCATGTCTGAGTAGGGCAGTGATACCTAAACGCCTGTAAGTGCAAATGTCCAAAGGCGGGGGAGAGCGGCCGATGCCCATTCTAGACGGAGAGACTGTCCCAGACCTCGAGAAGAAAGCCTTGGCTATCGCACGCTATAGCCTCGGATCACTCTGGTATTCACCGTCGAGATCTAGATCACGATATGAGGAGGCAAAGAGAAGAGTCCAGAGACCTGGACGTATGTTGACTGTGGCCCCGCGTCTGATCCGAGTCTTACGAATGCTTCAAGTCGACGACGGAATTCATGACCAACATCCTGCGCATTTCGTGGATGTGCAGGACGCTAACCGTACTCTTAGTCACAAGACTCCCTTTCCAAAAAGCGAGGGAGAATTCTGGGGTTCAAGTTTCCAAGGTTACCCCGGCGGCCAGGCCATGTGGTCGAACGAGCGAGCTCGTTTCTCGTCAGCCATTTGCAGGACCACACGCAAGACCACACTGGCTGCTTTACTACCACAGCGTGTATAGTACATTCCTCTCAGGTCCTTATACACTTGGGTGCGCAGACGCGGCCTACAGCCCAAAGTCCGGCGGATATTCGTTCAGCAGAGAGCATGTTACCTTGGATAAGGTACAGAAGCTCATGTCCACAACCATTGGTACTGATTTCAAGGGAGTCTCCGAAGAGCGAATAGGTGGCAAACAAAGGAAAGCACCAATCAGCCCTCGGAACACATCCATCGCAATGGCTGGGCTGGAACTTGATGGACCAATTTCGAGCCCTCCTAGAGCGAGGTGGCGAGGCGAAAGCAAGGCCCAGTGATTTCCTGGCACACTTCTTCGATGCTGTTCGGAGGCCGGGATCTCCGACCTCCGTAGCGTTTCTCGAGTGAGGCTGTCGTGTGGGTATGTGTTGGTAACGACCGTTTCATAACTTGGTAAAATCGCCATAGCTCAAAGCAGGGCAATAATTCAAGTAGGCCCTATTACTGGCGAGTGTTTGGATTCCTCCCAAGTTCACACCACAACAATTCATGCTGCTTGCTGTGGTCATTTGGAATTGTATCGTCAGTGACCAGGAGATTGACTGTTCATTTCTCTGAGCCCTGTCCCGAAAAACGGGGGAGAGAGCGCTCACCGAATTGCTCGTCTCTAAGTACGCACGGATGAGGCGTGGCTCCTTGTTTTCAGTATTCTACTGGTGTTTATTCTTAGCTTACCTTTTTGTTCCTCCAGTGTCGTTGTTCTACGACACAAAATATTGTGCGATGTTTCGTGGTACTGTCTTTCTTGTTTATGAGATTGTGAAGAGGGAACTCTAATGAAAGTGCGGAAATGTTCGAATAATGCCTCCTTTTCTCCTCGGGGATTTAATCATTCAAAGGAGTTGCCGGACCTCGCGGGGTCAATTAAGAAATTCAGTACCAGACAACATGCCTTCCATCCAAGCCGTCAGCAATTCGGATGCCGGGTCTAACGTCTTGCTCGGTATAGCACGTATTGAAGTACGGAAACATGTCGCCACAGCGAACGATGGTCAGCATTCCGGAATTTGCAATTTTCTCGGCCCCGGTATCTCACGGCGAGGCGTAGTGAGAAACGTGGGAACGATGAGGATTCTCGGCTGAAGGATACATTTCTTCCGTTTGTCAGCGGCTGGTTGAGGCCTCAGCGGCCCGAGGTTCGTGATGTGGGGAGATGTTCTTCCCCAGCCCGAGAATCACCTTCCTGATTGACAAGCCGGGAGATCTTGTCTATCAAACTTGCCATCATAGTCATTTGGGGCTCCGTTGTAAGGCAGAGGCGAGAGGCCTAAACGTGGAGCTCTGGGACGGTGTCCCCGCGATATTGCCCTGCAGGCACATAGCTTGAGATCAGTGTCTAGAGACGTGGAGCCAGGCGAATAAGAGCTGTCCATTTCGTCGATAACAACTCAATCAAAGCAAATTCGGATCAAGTCCAACCCCGGCATCTCTTCAGTCAAAACATAGCATTTACGCCGAGCTCGATGCCGAATGGAGGTAGCATACCGAAATTGTGATATGACTGCTACAATGCCGCTCTCTGGGTTTCAGCTGACGTACGGTACCGAGTTTGCAAGCACCGGTTCGAGCAAGCAAGAATCAGGTACCTTGTGTACGAAAGCCAGGCAGATGTCAATATCCTATTACATAGGAAAAGTCGATTTTGAGAAGGTGATGGTAGAGGAACTTTGGAAGAAAGCCATCATGAGTTGGCTGACCCGTTGGTCAAAGCGACTCAAAGGCTTGAAGGAAGGAAGGAAGGAAGGAAGGAAGGAAGGAAGGAAGGAAGGAAGGGAAGAATGCGCTGGTTAGAGAGGCGACAGCCGAAAGGAGTTCTGGTGGGCAGCGGACCAACGGAGGAGCTCCGATAGCCGTCCACGGTCCAGTGGCTGTTGGGCAAAACATGCGGTGAAAAGGGTCTCGGATGGCGCGTAATCGTGGCAATTGCGCTCCCCAGCAGAGACTGCTGCCGAGACGTATTCTCCCCAGATTTTCTTTTCTTGGATGACATGTCGTTGCATGCTAGGCATTTAGAACTGGTCGCAGCCGGTCTGGTCGTCGTTGACACCAGGCCATGCTGTCAAGACTCAATGGCGAACTTTGATACACATATCTTCCAAGGACCAAAACCTGTTTGTGCTCGTTGTCGGCCGGCGTTGGTGAAATTGTATAAGTATGGCAGGCGCCCGTATGGAGATATCCGTTCCGATGCTGACAGATTGCGAAGCCTTTCGAGATCGATGGGGGGCCGGGGTGACGATCCGGAGGTGTGTTTCAACAGTCGTCTTCATCAGGCTCATGGATGCGGCATCCACAATAGCGACCACGCGTTGGCGGCATGGGCGGAGAGGAACAAAGGTAGCAAGAGCAGGGCTACTGCATGAGCTTCGCAGCAACGGAACGCATCCGCGAGTCCGTCAGAATGCCAAGAGTTTGCGGGTGCACAGACACCACAGATCCAGGGCACGTCTTATCCGACGTGTGCCAGGGCCCGCTGACCGAGGGTCCAGTTCTCGGAGCGAGGTACCGGCGGGGCGGAGAGGAAGGAGGGGAAGGGCGAGACCGTAGGCGAGAGGCTAGAGCCTATGCCTACCTAGAAGTACGGAGAGCGGTAGGCAAGGACGAATGGGGGCGAAAAAATAATAAGAAGCCGCATGCTGAATTCTGTAACCGAACTTAGTCAATGTGAAAAAAAAGGAATCTTTAGAATTCACTAGCCACAATTGCGGAGTTTCCCATATGGAGTAGGTATGCCTGACGTGCCACATGTTACGGCCGTGGACGATCCGAATGAGTGGAAATGACGTCTCTTTACGTAGCCGATTATGTCCGTTTGTCGTCAAAAGGATGGTGAAGATGGAGAGCCCTTGCTATGTTGCCGGGTTCGGGTCAAAAGCATTCGAGGCTGCGTGGAAGAAGAAAAGAACTGGAGAGGGTCATGATGTGAGTGTTGTGATGGGCTGGTGGTGTTCTGGGAGGCCGGAAGTTGGTACGATTCTGGAAATAACGAGTGGGTCCGGACGTAGTTTCGGACACTTTACTCCTCGGTTGGACGATCCTTAGCGCCGACGTCGCCCCTCTCCTCCCCGGTCGAGGAACCTGGGAGCATCAAGCAAGCAAAGCAAGCAGCACTGAGCAGGCAGCTGCCAGCACCCATTGTTTCCCAGGAATGTAACTCTGTGAGTGATCATAGGAAAGGTGGGGATGAGTAGGTAGGGCGTGGGGTGGAGTACAACCCGGTGACATATCCGTATGTTGTCGGCGAATACCAATGGGAAGGTACGCTGTACACTGCAGAGTACGTGTATGCGTAGCAAGTACGGAGTAAGTAGATACAAAACTACCTTAGTGCCTTAACTACACAGTAGAGTACGGGTAGATTGTACGGATACGGGATACTCCGCGCGGGTGCCTCCCCTTGGAGGCTTGGGTAAGGTACCTTGTCTATTGCCTTTGCAGACTGCATGGCGGAGGGTATCTTTACCTGCCATTACCTTACCTAACTTAGTGCCTAGTGCGGCGTGCCTGCCGCCTGCGGCCGGCCCTCGACATCAAGCCCGCTTGCTGTTGCTGTTGGTAAATCACATCTCGGCTTTTCACAGTTGGTTCTTGGACCCCGGTACCCAGCTGAAGCTGTGGCGTGGGCGCCTCTGTCTCACCGTGTGCTCTATCCGCTTTCGTGACTAACCCGAACTCGATCGCTCCATCTAGACCTGCAGAAAGATACCACGTTGGACCGGGTGGATGGGGCAAGACTAAGGTAAGCAAGCACCTGATGGCCAAGTCTTGCCTGCCGGCTTCAAGTCCGCTGAGCAAGTTCTAACGAATCACGTCTAACACATAAAATGGACCCTGAGATACCGGAGGCCGCTCGTGGCAAGGGCTTGGCGCCTTGCCATTTCCATTTCCATTTCCATCAAATCATCCTCTCGACTTTGTCCGACATGTTCAACATCCATGGTGACGGGCCTCAAACTAACGTAAACTAACACTCTACTACTTCTAATTCGACAATCTGACAGGTAGCATTTCTGCCCGCTCTAGATCCTGCTTGCCCTCGTTGGTCAAATCGAAAACCCACCACAGTCACAAAGGAGCTATTTTTGTCGTCATTTCCGGCCATCACCGTTGCATCGTGACACCAGTCGACAAGCCCTGAATCCTTCAGTCGATCAGGCACAGCAAATATTCATGATTACTGATGTCTAGGAGCAAAGAGGCATCTGTATCGCAATGTCATTCGTTGCCTCGTGCCCACCTATCATCCCCTCGTCCATCGCCACCAATCTGCTGACTACCTGAGATCCATAGAACAAGGACAGGCTCAGTCAACTTCTGGGTCCGCATCTCTCGTGGTGTGCGTATGCCTAACATTACAGGACAATGATACCTGCGCAAGCGTCTGCTAGATGGCTATGCTCCTCGTCCAAGAGTCGCCATCTCCTTGAGACCTCCGACATATGGCACGTTGCCCAATGGCAATCCTGTTACAAATTTCGGCTTTATCTTGTGCTCTCGAGTATCCACCCCAATGGATGTCTTGCAGCAGCAAGAGGCTATCTTCGAATGGTGCCGCCAACGGAAGGGGAAGCGTCACTTAGATCCAAGAACCGGGAAAACAGGGTGTTCAGGATATCACGGTTGGCGATCTGTGGCTTGCCGCCAATGACACGCCTGGATTCTTCCCCATTCAAGCTTATCCTCTCAGGCGGCTGTTGAGCATTCCGGATCTGTCGTTCGTTCCCCGTTGAAAGTCAGACATCCCGCCCTGTCCTCCCAGACAGTAGACTTCGCCCCCGGACCCGGCATACCTGGGGGCGAAGGACGCTCCAGCCCGACTAGGAAAAGCAAACATGACATCCAGGGCAACTGCTGCCTTCAGTCACGGCAGCCACGATCAAACCTGAACCTGTATCCGTACCGTTGCACTGGGACCAGCATCGACCAAAAGTTCCAACTCCCAACGCCGTGCCTCAAGTGACGATCCCAGTCTATCTTGGAGCCTTTTTCTTCGACGGACCGCGACAGCCGAAGAACAAGGCGCGCGTGCTTTTACGGAGTCATCGTGCACGGCTCAGGGGCAATATCACTGGCCGAGAGCACGTAGGAATCGAGTCCATATTACCAAGACCCTCTGTTCTGATGGCTTCCTAGCGTCCAAACCCCCAATTTTCCGTCGAGCCTGTCGGTCAGGGTCCACCGATAGACGCGTACTTTTGGGGTCACGGATGGTTTTTCGCATGAGGAGCTCGCTTACTCCGGCCGGCTTTATCTCTCCCTCGGTAGTCTTGAGCCGCAAGAGCTCAGCTCACCTGAGGGCAAATGTCCAAGCTTCTATGGCTAATCAAACCCACAGATGGAATGTGTTGATCGGCTTTGGTAGCTCAGAGTCTTCTTGGCCGGAACAAAACTTAAATCTAGATTCTGCATGTACGTCGATTGGCTGCGCAGATACAAGCAAGATCTCACGACAGTCAAGTAAATCGGAGTTCCCGTTTGGTCAGCTGCGTTGCCTCCTCATTATGCCTAGTGGCTTGGGGTCCGGTCTGGCCTCTTCCTGGATGATACCCCTACCACCTCAGCAGGAGACCTCGCAATCCTTGCTCTTCCCCTCTGGCGGACCAGTCTCGGCCAGGAAAAGTCATCCTCCACCCGTCTCTCAAATAATTTCAGGCCGTCTGTGATTTGCCGGCCCGTTGCGCTTTCTTTTACTGCAGCAACATGCCAGGCCTAGAAGCCCTTGGTGCGGCCTCGCCAGCTGATGTTCTTGTTCACATCCCCTCAAGTCTTTCTGATGAAACAGGCGGCAGCTAAGGCTCTAAAACCCCACAGTCTCTTGCACATGATAGATGCCCAACCTCCTAAGACGTACGGGTTACCTTCCGTCGTACGCTCCTAGAAGAGAAATCCCAATTTCTATTCCGCCATCTCCGATCATCATCATTCCCTCTGAAAGCATAGTTCCCCATATTTCGAAAGTGCGTCGTCGTTATCGTCTATCCGCACAATAGCCAATGGAAGCGGTTAGTGACCTTTTGGTTCCAAGAGAGCTCGGCGTGGAGCTCCACAGGGCAACATTCTCCCCCAGCGGATGGACAACTTACCAACCCTTTCAACATAGGAAAAGGAGAGGAACCGCATCCGGGATAACCAGCGCCGTTCGAGGGCTCGGAAGAAAGAGTACGTTCAAGAGATTGAGCAACGTCTTCGGCAATGTCAACTTCAAGGAGTCGAGGCTTCTGCTGAAGTACAGCAGGCGGCACGCCGAGTTGCAGATGAGAACCACAAGCTTCGACAACTACTTCAACATGTAGGCTATGGCGACGAAGTCGTTGATCAGTACATTCACACCGGCAAGCTCGCTTCTCCAAGTCATCGCGGCCTGCATATTGCAAACTCGAGCGGCAGCTTGGTTCCTGAGAAAGCGACAGAAACGTTGGAGGGTCTTTTGGTTCCACGGCGGCCACCATGCCTCGATATCCAGATGCCGATTCTACCAACAAGTAGAAACACAAGCCCAGACCGAACCTTGTCATACGGTCCTACGCCAGACTCGCCTGTTGAAGAGTATGGTTCTCCGTCGGAATCTGTCCATCCAATCCATGGTTCGGCGGTGGTTTCACCGACAGACTTTGGCTCCCAACAGGTCTACGCTCGCGCCGGCGACATGAAAAACCGAGATTACGCAGGCCATCACCACCGCCCACTTGAGGTCGAGTGGGCAAATACCCACCAAAATCAGTCACCCCATGGTATTTCATCAAATGTTCAGGGATTCGGGGCGAATCAGGCGCTCGATTATCATCCGCCATTCCCGGGCATCAATCCTTCAGCAGGCATGCTACCCCCAACATGCGCCGGACCGCCATCTATGCCGTACACATCGTACCCGACTTTTCATCCCCAGCCGCCAGCGTTCGTCGCAGCTGCTACTGGTCATATTGGACATGTCCCCGTCACTGAAGGGGATCCTGCTATTGAGGATCGCAAACCTCAGTATAGACACCCAGAAGACCATTCTTGGTCATCATCGGACCCCTTTACCAGATCGCAATACAATCCCCGACACAACTGAAGCGGCTTGAGCGTTGTTGTTTGATGATCCCGACGCAGATTTAGACCTTTCTAAACAAGGCTCTCGATCCTGCAGACGAACCCGACACCGACAATGGAGAATGGTTGTTGTAAAGTCAACAATAAAGGCTGAGCCCCACTGGAAATTCAATGGAATACTCGGCCGAACAAATTGGCCGGGGCCCTATTCTTGAATGGAGATCTCGAATAGCAACTCGCAGTGCCTTGGCACCCCTGTTTTTGGAGCCGTACGTTGGCCTTGCCGTGTACACAATCAAGCACAGACGAGGTTGGTCAAAGGAAACCAGTCTTATTGTTCCCTACCCATGTCACCGAGGCTGGTGGGAAGGAATTGGAGCACAAAGGCAACGAAAGCTCGTGGCCTTTGGCAAGTGCTGAAAACGTTGCGTTCTCTATGGATACAGACCAAGAGTCTTTATCTCTGCTGCAGCGTTCTTTGTATGAAGCATGCGCATGGAGCAGCTGGAAAAAGGGCATGCCGGCGCCCTATTGAGCCAGCTGAGAAGGTCCAATGCTGTCAGCAAAGGGCTCACGGGTCACAAGATGGAGGGGTTGATAAGAGTCGTCTTAATGAATCTAATGCCCACGGTTACCATTCTATTCTCTTGTTTCCATTTCCTCACAACAAAGTCAACTCAGTGCGTCTACTTGACGGAATTTTATCCATATCCTACCCCTTTTACATCTTACCAGAATCATAGATCATTCAAAGCTTCAATGTCGGAATACTACAGCCAAGAGAGGGTGGATTTGGTAGCGATATTGGCTACATCACAGCGAATCGAGTTTGAGAGATGCCTTGCAGAAATCAAAGGACGCAATGGAGGTAACAAATCTGACACGATGGGAGTGCTCCAGCGTCTAGCCAGCGAAGCCGAAGACGCCAGCAGCATTCTGTTAAGTCTTCAGGCAGAGAATATCGGGGGCTCATATGACATGATCCATCGTATGCTAGCACAGCAGACTCTACTGATCAAGACGCAGCTTCTGGAGGTTGCGGGAGAGATGGGGAAACCGTTCCTACCGACGCCAATGTCTAATCCACGGTTGGCACAACAATCTATGATCCAGCAGCAACAGCAACAGCCACGGCAGGAGGAAGAGGCGGAACGGGAACACCGAAAACCGCGGTCCCCTTTACCAAGACCTCCTAGGCTGCCGAAAGTAAAACTACAATTTAATCAGCTTCCATTGTCTAGACGGCTTTCTGACACTACGCCGACGCTTGACGCGATGGACCGGTCTCAACCCCCTGAGAAGCAGAAGTCCCCGACCCGTGAGATCAAGGGGTTCCCTCCTCGGATCGCTAGAAGGCGGCGTGGTCCTCGACAGCAAGCGCCAGCAGAAAGTGGCGGAAGAAAGGACCATGGGACAACTGGTCCAAGGGGAACGTATCAAGGAGGGAGTGTCCGTCGTCATGATCAGGCTAGTGTAAGTCCTTCCCCCGAGAAAAGACTCAAGCTGTGGCCCACCGCAAGTAACAAATCCTCGCGTCCAGCGCTCGGAAAACCTCTCTCAAGAGCGAATGAAGAGCGAGACCCCTTGAGCCGCCGGAAGTCGGGGGATGTGAGCGGTGCGGTAAACCTCTGCAGACTACAGGATGAACAGGAAGAGAGAATCGATGCGGCTAACGTAGAAAAGTGGATGAATGATCTCAATTCAAGGACGGAGAGTAAGGACGAGGGCGAAGCAAAGATGGAGATGGAGAGGGGAAATGGAAGTAAGACAGGGGACGAAGGGAAAGGGCGAGGGACTCGCGGGAGGAAGAGGTCTGCAGAAAACGACTTGTCCCCATCGACTATCAAGAAACCTCGCCCTGAGCCTCAGGGCGGGAAGAACGGGGTTAGTCCAGGGGGTATCAAAAGGTTCCTAAGCTCCCTCAACCCCTTTCGGAGAAGACGAACTAAGTCTCAGGAAAGCAGAGCCGCCGAACCGACCGCCGTTGTACCGAGCATACCAGACTCGCCGAAGCCAGTGGGGTGCTGCATCTTCGCGGAAGCTCTCAACCCAAGGTACTTATTTGGCACCGGAAAAGAGGACCAGAGAGCCCTGCACTACCGCGACGCCATCGAAGAACTCATCCAGCTCGTCGAAGACGCGCCGCACGCAATCACGTCCAACGACCCCCTCGTGCGCGAATACCACGCAAAACAATTCAAAGACATACAGACCGTCCTACGCAAGATCCCGTCCAGAGCCATATCGAAGAAGATGATTGACGAAAAGCTCCTGGCGATCCGGACGGAGGAGACGGCGATTCAAAAAGGGCAGATTCCACGTCTAAGAGGGATAAAGGCGGAGGAGGCCAGGGCGGAGCGTATACAGCAGCTGACGCAGGAGAAAGAGGTCCTGCACCGTCGGTTGCGGGCCTGCAATGAGCTGAATGACAAGATTTTCGCGTTTGGGGAAGAGGGGGCGGCGATTTTTGCGGATTGGATCGTGGAGATGAAGTTACGCGTCGCGGGGGAGCTCGAGTTTGCGGAGAGGGCCCTGATGATGCCGTATTTTGGCGGGGTTCAGGAAGATGGCCGGGAGTTCTATTGTGTTTGAAGAGGAGTGGAAAGTTGGGTTTGTGGCTTATAGAGGGTCGGAAAGAGGAGGAAGATGTATATACCAGTGACGACGTGCGCCGTGTCAAGTTAGCTGAGATAGATATCACAGAGGCGTTTTGGTTTGGCCTATTGAACGAATATCAAGAAACGATGCATGACTCGCGCCAACTCCTATTAACTCCAGTAATCATCCACCGACCTTTATACATACACGATCAGGGGGAAACACGTAAATTTTTGCCCAGCAACGCTGACCATTCCGTTCTCTGTCTTTTTTCGCTATTTTCATCTTTAAATGTTTTGTGCCGTTTTGAAACAATAAAAACGGTTTTGGTATCGTCATTATACCGAGAATGTCTCTCGCCTCCACTGGGGGAGAGAGTCCGTGACCAAACCACCTCACCCTTACAAAAAGTAGTCCGCCACGGGCTTCTTCGCAGGCATGCCCCTAGAATCCTGCGGCGCGGCCTGGAACACGCGGTACCTCCTCGCGGGCCCGGGGAGGAGTACCTGGTCGTCGGTGCCCCGAATATTGCCGTCGCTGCGTCCCCGATCGCCGTTGCTGCGCGCAAAGACGCCCGTGCCCGAATCGTCCTCGGCTAGCTCGAGGATGGCCGCCACGTTGCCGCAGCGGTAGCAGTAGTTGGGCGCCGACCACACCGTCACGATGCTGGCGTCGAACATCTCCTTGAACCCTTCCATGACCAGCTGGTGGGCGCGCGCAATGAGCGAGAGGTCGTTCTTGTGGTTGAAGTCGCGGACGATATCGGCGCCAAAGAGGAAGCCCGCACCGCGCGGCGACAGGCCCCAGCCGTCGATCTCGTCCGGGTCGGACCAGAGCAGATCGCACATGGCGCCCTCGTGGGGGACTTCCTGCTTTCTGTCCAACAGCCGGATCTTATCTACGCTGTCTATAAGCGGGGACAACCCGCCATGAACGCACAGAATGGCTCCGGCGGGGTTGCCTATAGAACCTGATGCGCTTCCTGATGCGCCGCTTCCTGGCGGGCCTGTCTTGTCGCCGCCGGACGAGGGGGCACCGTTGGGGCTATTCGTAGGTTGCCTTTGTGGTCGTCTCTGTCGGGGGAAGCGGCTCATTGTTGAGCCGTTTTGATCGCAGACCTCAATCTCAGTATCTTCGCTGATGGGGTCTTGTCCCGGAGTGGAGTTGAATGTGTGTGATGCGCCGAGAACGATGGCGCCGAGGGCGAGGTAGTCGAATACGTCGCAGCAGTACCGCCAGACGTTGGCGGAGCCGTATTTCCGAAGGCACTCGTCGTAGAAGCCGTAGACGGTAGTGATTTGGCGGGATTCGTGGTTGCCCCTGATAAGGGTCATGCGGTCGGGGTAGCGGACTTTGAGGCAGAGAAGAAGGAGGAAGGACTCGAGGGAGTAGAAGCCGCGGTCGACAAAGTCACCTATACGAAGGAAGCGTCAGCACATCCGATAAGTGCCGTGGGTGAGCGAGAGATCATGAGGGCATACCCATGAAGAGGTAGTTGGTATCGGGAACATCGCCGCCTACTCGGAAGAGCTCCATGAGGTCGTGAAACTGGCCGTGAATGTCGCCACATATCTAGTCCGATGTCAGCGTCTACTCGCCGGAAATTTACAGCGGGGGTTCCTCATCGTACCGTGACGGGGGCTGTGACCGTGACAACATTTCCTTCCTCAATAAGCAGCTCGCGCGCCTTGTGGCATAGCTCTCGGACTTGCGCTTCGGGTATCGGTCGACAGGCGCGCAGTTGTGCGATAGCTCTGTGTTAAGCGTCAGCGCCTTTTCGGTCATGAGAGAGAGTATGCGATCGCGAGTATGCTCACTTATCGAGGTCGCTCATTGTGGAATTTGAGGAGGGGCTCCTTGGTCTGGGTCGCGGCGCCCGAGGCCGAGGACTCGCGATATCGAGGTGGAAAGGATGGCGGGTATTCGTTCTACTTTATAGCATGTCGCGTGGAGTATTCGATTCGGCGCGATCGACGGCAGCTACCTTAACGTCGTCGTAAGAATGCGGATTGAGCACTTGCGTAGGGGCGATCAGGGCTTCGAGGATGGGATGGCGTCAGTAAAGTTCAAAGAGGTGCATGGTTGCCCTTTAGCGGTCGCTGGTCGCCTGCCAACCCCCAATTCGAACTTCCAATCGCGCCGGGATCTGCAAAAAGTGGATAGATGGCCAATGCGTCGCTGTGGGTTCTCGCTGGAGTGCATCCCGGCCCGGGGAATTGTTCAGGGCTCCATCTCGGGGCTTTAGTTATTGCGACGACCGAAGATTAGATCCTCAGGCTCGCGACCTGCACTTGTCGGCTGGCATGTCACGTCGCCCAGGGTGGACCCACTCCGGGCCGCCGGAATCCAATCAGAAGGCCTGCATATCAGTTCGGGTCATTAAGCTTCACTGCAGGTTTGCGAGAAAATCATCCGTTGGCCATCGTCATTGCGAACCTCAAGCCTTCGTTGAGGGGACTACATTCGGATCCGTCACCCCGTCGCGCGAGCATGGTGCTGTCATAGGTGAGGAGCCTCAGTCAATTGGGTCATTTTGATGAATTTCAAAGTCGCTAACGTCCAATGGCACGCAGAAGTCTGAAGCCTCCTTTTTCCGAACACCAAAGAAAAAAATCGCGATCATGCCACCACACCCCCTCCACCCGAGGTCGCGCATGACCTCTTCGCTCTTTGCAACCACGGTTGTCGCAAGCTTCTTCGTAGTCGGCATGCCGCATCTGTTACCGTGCCCGGCACCGAGAGTCACATACGCCGATGGAGAGATAGTGGTGGGCGAGGACGGTCGCCGAAGGAGGCGCCGCCGTCGCGAGGCAGCCCCCGAAATCAACGACGGCGTCGTCAGCTTCAATCAAATGGGCGACGAGGAAACGATACGAGCACGAGAGGAGCGATTGAGGAGGGAGTGCCCAGTACCGAAACCTGGCGGCATTTTGGGCGAGTGGTTGGGATTCCACGGGCCGACCAAAGCAGAAGATGGCAGAGCGGGAAGGTGACGACAGCAGATGAACATATGTACAAATAACTCAAAGATACCATTTACGATCAACAATTGCGGTCCCAGCGGCATTGGATGTGCGATGACGATAGACGGGGTGACACGCAGGAGATGGTCAATGTGACGAGCATGCAATCACTCAGCGAACAGTCGCTCTGCCGAATTGAGAGGATATGGGTTAAGGACACCCGCTTACGCCAGAAAAAAAAAAAAAAAGAGTTCACCCCCCCGGTGCTGAACTGGGGGCTACATCTCTTGGTGCTCATGCTGGGATTCGAACTCGGGTACTCGCTAAGCCTGTCGTCGAGTAGGCTGGTTGGCGTTTTAACTGTTGACCTTGAACTACTCCACCACCCAGCCAGTTTGACCTGACCCCCGACCTAGAGGGCGCCTGCTGGCTGGTGACAGGGACGGAATTGAGGGGGTCTATATGGGCTTGCTCTTGTGGTGTATTCAGTAGAGCTGGGATGAATATACGTACACGGGATGATTCACTGAAGGTGGCTGATGCGCCGCGAAGAGTTTGGGAACAAGAGCCCGAATTAGGAAGTAAGGGTGCCCAGAATCATGAATCCTCCAGTATACCGCAGGATCTCAAGAGCCCTTGCTCAAGTGAGCAACGCGAACCAGCCTTCCCACTGATGCCGCAATTGTTGCCTCGAGTGGCGTGTTCGACGATATCTCAAGCGTTCAACTGACAGTCTAGAGTTTTCGAGTCTAGGGCACAGCATTGCAACATCGGATGCCGCGCCTTTGCTGTTGGACTCAAATGGGCGACCAGTACGCCGCAATCACACTCTCGGGCTACGTCGAGACAGATGGTGGTAGAGGGCCTCCGATGCAGAGGTGCTTTGGACCCTACCCTATAGCCAAATAACGATTCAACTTCAAGTCACGGAATCGATAAGCAACCCATCGTGCACAATACCCCATAGCCCAAGCAGTTCGCGATGTTCAGAGTCACGCACGCAATGATATACCTCTGCTACCACTACTTGGGGGCTGTTGGTCGGGGCTTGCCAAGTCTAAATAAGCAGTCATCCTAAAAAACAAGGTTATTTTGGAATTGACTGCGCCTGAAACTTAGGTGCAGTTCGCCCTTGCAGGGTTGCATCCTCTTGATCCTTGCGAGCTTCGACCGAGAAGACGGCTGGGGACGGGCCCAGCGGGTCGTTCTTGGTGAGAACAGATGAGTGTCTTGCTCGAGATTTCTCGATCTTCACAGTCCTGACGCTGCTGGCTGGAGTCCTTGAAAGTCTTCAAATTGCTATTTTCTCCGAGTCATCCTCGCTGACGACGATCAAGATCGCCGCTCGTCTTTCTCTCTCATGTTCCGTTTCCCAAGGAAGTTCTCATACCCCTGAATCTGGTGTAAGAAGTGCCGTGAGCTTATTACGTATGATCTTCCGGGAAATTTTACACACAGGATTCGCCTCGCCTCAACAGTGAATCCAATGCCTGCCTACGTTGCCAGGGCATAAAGTCGCAATACTGAAGGCTCTACCACAATTTTCCACGGCTTTCTGGTGTTCCGTCCATGACCGGGCGATCGTGGGGGATGAGACGTCGGAAGAGACTCAGGCAAGTGATCCGTGCTGCTAGGCCGCGCCCCTGCCTCCGGCCCGCAACCTTAACACCCGCTAACAATATCTGACGCAGGGAGCCCCTGATGGACGCCTTGGCGTAGAGGAACGCTGGCCAACTTTTTAGTCATTGTTGCTCCCGCAAACCACTCACACACACACACAACGACGCATATACCCTCACGAGGCTTCACAGCCTCTCCTCGTGGTTAAGAGTGACAAGGTTGTGTCTTCTTCAGGCTTGTGTGCGGGGCGGAGGTGTACCACATGGGCGGCTTGCGGTCTGATCTCCAAAGCGCCAAGAACGGCTCTGATCAGTCGAAACAGCCGGGAGGACGAATCACGAAGAACGCCTGGAGCCTTGGGCCCATTGAGATTTTGGCATCGCGGTTTAGAGTTGAGGTGACGGGTGCCATCTGTTTTCTACCGGGGCACGAACTGAGACCGGATTCAGCACACCCATCGTATGCCGGTCTTTCAAGGGTGGAGACCTTGCATCCTGCTTCGCACCTCGGGGAGGCAACTTGCAAGACGCCACCAGCCTGGCAGACCGTTGGCATGTTACGCAACCCGAAAATTCCGGATGGCATCTGTCTCATGAGCCCTGGTAGATGCCATCTGATCAGCAGAGGCTCTGGGCTGGGGGGAGGGGAGCGCCAGCCCAATACTGAGCCTGGTCCACACAAAGACTTATGCTTAATGACAGTCCGGGAAGATGTGAAGTTAAATAGACTTCATTTCCCCGAACCAGAGTATGTTTTGTTCCTCATCCCTTCTCTCAGGACAGTGTCTTTTTTCTACATCAAACTTTTCAATTCTATTCTTCAAGAGCTGTGCTCTATTTCCATTCATTCTCAGCTTCTCTGTCATTCCTTGATACCCCGATTGTAAGTTTTCCTCCCATCCAGGGCTGGCTAGAAACACAACGCTGACTAGAGTCTCCAGTTTGTACCGTTTTCTCTTCACGACAGTCATTCCACAATGAAGTCCTCCATGATCCTTCTCATTGCTACCGGCCTGGTGTCGGGTCTGAGCATTCCCAAGCAGCTGGACACCCGCCAGGCCATCGCCCAGGCCCCGGCCGCTGCTCCCGCAGCTGCTGCTCCTGTTGCTGCACCTGCTGCTGCACCTGCTGCTGCACCTGCCGCACCTGCTGCTCCCGCCGCTGAGGCTCCCGCCGCAGCTCCCGCGGACGCCGCCGCCGAGGAGGCGAAGAAGAAGGCTGAAGAGGAAGCTGCCAAGAAGGCGGCCGAAGACGCCGCCAAGGCTGGCGAGGGCGCTGCCGCTGCTCCCCCGGCCGACGCCGCCGCTGAGGCCGCGAAGAAGGCACAAGAGGAAGCCGCCAAGAAGGCTGCAGAGGACGCTGCGAAGAAGGCACAGGAGGACGCGGCCAAGCAGGCCGAAGACAAGCAAAAGGAGGCTGCCAAGGAGGCTGCTAAGCAGGCTGAGAAGGCCATGGGAGACTACCAGAAGGGCAACAACAACAACAACGACAACAAGGGCAACAACAATAACAACAATGGTAACAACCGCAACAATGGAAACAACCGCAACAACAACAACAACAACAACAATAACAACAACGCCCTATTGCTCCAGAACATCCAGCTCCTCCTCGCGGCCATGAACCTCCAGAACGTCGTCAACGTCCAGGCCCTCGCCCAGCTCCAGGCGCAGCAGCAGCTCGTGATGCTCGCCCAGCTTCAGCAGCTCGCCCAGCTCAACGCCGTCGGCCTCGTCAACCAGGTCCAGGTTGTCGCTCTAATGCAGCAGGGTCTCGTCCTCGGCGGTGTCCAGCTCGGCGGCGTCCAGGTCGTCAAGATCCAGTGAACAATTTGCTGCAGAAGTTCAGGGGAGGGAGCATACAGTGTACAGGGCGATGTAACTGCAAAAATGTAATTGACACAATTTCTACGGTGCAAGGAGCAATCATTCAATCAGTGTTTAGCACTGGGGGCGCCACTGTGTTTGTTTAGATGTCTCATGCGTTGCGGAGGTGTGAGGGAACCCGCGCCGCGTGATCGGTTGGGTTTGGCATCCTTAGTGGACGGTCTCTACTGAAGGTTGAGGTGACATTGGTATGGCCGTGGTAGCACTCAATGGTCTCCTAGAAAGGGGTTGGGAATCGGTGGTCCACATTACATGGGAATGGGTAACGGTGCATTATTCAACGGCTCTACATATCAGACTAGGATTTGGCAAGTGCTTTAATGTAGTTTATGGAAAAAAGTGTCACTGATCCACATGCCAAAACCTTTGAGTTTTACGTTGAGTTTTACTTTCCTTCCGTTGATAGTTGTGTCTGTCTCAAAACTTTGCTGATGTCGCGAGGGGGTCATGTTTAGGGCGGGATATCCCTGTTCGAATGCCAAGTCTGTTGACAGCATATTGACTTAAGCTTATCCTCGATGAATTCTCCTTTAATCGATCTGATTACTTCTGACTCAACACAATGTTTGCCATACCATGTCACCTTCATTTTCATTCCAGTCGGCTAAAGGTATTTGACGTCTAAATCCAGCTCACCTGATTAGTGAATGATTTACACTTAGGTAGGAAAGGGTTCTCATCGTGATGGTGGACGATATGACGAGCACATAAAATCCGTTCGCCTCCTCACTCAGTTTTAGCATCAAAAGTCGACAGTCATGTATGGTACCGAGACGCCCTCGTCAAACGCAAACCCAACCCTCCTCTTCCCGGAAGCGTAGAACACCCGGGTTGCGGGGAAAGGAGACGTCAAAAGAAAAGAAGGTGAAGAACCAGGGTGTGACATCTGCAGCCCTGTCGCGCGTTCCCTTGTCGTCAATGCCATGGAGGGAAGATGCCTCATCGACAGAAGCCTGAGACACTTGGAGGGGTTCGGGGTTGGTGAGCCGAGCAGGGGGGTTCCGACGACAGCAGGAAAGGGGCGGCAGGGTCACTGTGTGCTGCACATTGCGCCCGGACCGCTTGTCAGTGACGCTAGAGGTTCTGACTTGCTGGAAGAGGAGAATTGCGGGGTCTGTAATAGCCAATTAACGCCTAGTCAAGACTTGCAGGGGCCGTACAGAGGTCCGAGGGATGCTGATGGACCCCACTGACACGAGTTTAAACAGCCACTAAACCTTAGTTGAGCCGCTCCGACGTCAACGGTCCTCCTCCTCCCGCCTCTCTCGATTCTCTGCGTTGAGTCCCTGCTTGGACCATGCCAATCACAACCACTCATTCCAATACCAAGAGCGAGAATGGGATGATGTCCTCACACCCCAATTCGATGATCAATGCCACCCTGATCCAACGCATCGCCGGCGAGCCGGCTCGGCAGTCTCCCAAGGCAGAGCCGAAAATCCTGACGCGAGTGCAACGAGACCAACTTCATTCATCCCGTCTTGACTGCTGTCAGAGACCCCAGCGGGCCCAGCCTTGGGACGACCCATCGGACTTCTCATCACCCGGCCGAGCATACCAGTTGTTCCAGCTCGGTACGCAGGTCTTTTCGGATGACACACCTGTCATCGCAGCATCGTCCCAGCTCGCAAGTGTCTGACAGAATGCCGCCACACCGCCGCCCCTTGCTTTTCCACTTCTTCTTCCAACTTCCCTCCGCATTGTCGTCGCATATACCCAACACCACCCTCACAAAACCTGTGATCAAACAAAGTCCTTTTCCACCGCTGCTTCTCATCATCAGACCCTACGAAACAGATTTTTGGCTCGGTTCTATGTGTAGATCTCATGAGTCTATCCCAGTTTCCGGCCCCCGTCCCCTGTCTTCCTTCTCTCACCCAAAGTCCGCGGGAAGAAAACTGGCTGGAAGGGCCATGTGCCGGCTTGGCGATGGCTGGGATGAAAATTTCCGTGTCACCATTTGCCGTCGGCCGAGTAGCCGCAGGACCCGCCAAGTAAGGTTATTTGGGCATTGCGTTACGTTGCTTGGCCCACGAGAGCCTCAATGGCCTTGTCTTGCTTCGTTTCCTCACCATAAACTTTGATTACTAAGTCTCGTCACAACCAAAGGGATTGCGAGTGAATCTCTTCTAATCTGTCTATGCTTAAAAATGAATTTCCATCTCCAAAGATTATATCTGGAGATAAACGCCTCACGAGAGACGCCGAAGTGTACGTGTATAGTGATATTACTTTCCTACTGTAGTCTTCAACCCGCTTTCATTCAGCTCGCAATCATCCTAGCATAAGTCGCTAGATCGTGCCAAGGGTGGCATCGCTTCCGTCATCCGAAGAAACGTCCTCTCTTCCATGCTCTACGCGTCCCCTCACGACCCCTAGTCTCAATGTTGGGCCCCCCTCCCCCCTGTCAACCCGTTTGATCCAACATTATTCCGTACCAGCGATATCGAGACTCTGATACGCATCGGATCACTCGTTCACGACTCTTCCGAGCGCAAATCGTACCTTAATTCGCACTTGGCAATGGCCCAACCGCCTCATGCCTTGCTGAAGAGTTCAGACGTCGACGTACAGCACTCTTGGCTCCGAGTATCTTGGCTTCTGCTCTCGTCGACATATAAGCCACCCGTCCCGCCGCGAACATCACATATTCTTCCTTCTTCTCCATCCACACGCATTCAAGTCTCTTCATCCAGTCCGATCTCACTCATTCCCTTCATTCATTCTCTTCAGAGGTGGGTCTCATCTCAAGACCAGATGAACAGAATACCATACTAACCAACAACCAGCTGTGCTCTTTGTTCTCTTCACTCCTTTCAGGTCGTTTACAAACAAAACCAAAACCACTCTTTACAGGAACAATCAAGAGCTGTGCTCTCTTCAAACATAATACATTTTTAATCAAACCCCCCCCCCCCCAATCCACCAATCAGCCAAAATGCGCTTCTCAACCATCATCCTCTCCACCCTTACCGCCTTCGCCGCCGCGGCACCCGTCGCCGACACCCTGGAACCCCGCCAGGGCAACGGCAACAACAACAACAACAAGAACAACATCGACCTCGCAAACCTCAACAACCTCCAAGGCTTCCGCAACCTCGACCTAAACTACCTCCTCGCCCTCAACAACCTCAACCTCCAGGGGCTCGGCCAGCTGGGCCAGGTCAACGACCTCAACCTCGCCGCCTTCCAGAACCTGTTCGCCGCCCAAAACTTTGACCTCAACGCCCTGCTGCAGCTGCAGCAGCTGTCCACCGTGCTGGCGATCCAGCAGCAGGGCGTGTTCGGCAACGTCAACCTGGCGCAGCTGAATCTGGGTGGCCTCAACTTGGGGCTCATTGGCGGGGTCGGGCAGGTGAACTTGGGACAGTTTATTGACCAAGGGTTGGTTGGGCAGATTAACCAGGTCGTTCAGCAGTCTTCCGGTACGTTTTTGACTTCGCATGTGGACTATTGAAATCTTGAGTGCTAACCAGGGGGTCTTCTTCCGCAGTCGTCGTCGTTGCGAAATAAGCACTCTGCGTCTGTCCTCCAGGAATAGGCGATGCGATGCATTTATGAACTGGGCTACGGATTGCCACATTTGGGACACGGTGTTTCAACCTGCTTTTCTTTTCTCTCTTAATGACTGGCGCGTGAACTTTCCTTGATTCTACAAACTGAAGGGGGACTGGTCGATACAGGTACTAGAATCAAGATGACAAGATGGCATGTATGGATATAGGTACCGTGACAAATTTACGAATCTTCATCCAGAACATTTCTCTGCGTAGCACTCTCAAGTGAGGCTACGGGCCGAGTGACAAACGCAGACAAAAGTTTGATGAAGCTTCTCTGATCAACCCCCTTCTAGGCCTCTCGACTCGAGTCTAAAGTCAAAATTTCCAGAAAGAGATACTCAGACGGGGTGCAGGTAAGACTCGGGTTTGTATTCGGCGTTCGAGCTACTGACAGGCCTCATCACAGTCGCCAGTACATGCAGTACTTTGATATTCAAGAAAAGTTGACAGGCGTCAAGCGCAAGAGTGCTCGCGAGTGCTCGCGAGTGCTCACGAGTGGGCTTCTGATACACACTAGGTATACCAGAATCCTCGCAAAGATCCAGCACGTGCTTTTACATTTCCAGCCTAGAATCTCTGGTGTCTCTCATCTGTTTTCTCAATCATCGAGACCGGCGATCAATAAAGCCATGAAGGACCTCTGCCTAATCCTACATTTTATATTCCATATAGACGGTGCGTTTCATGCCCCCCCCTGTCCCACCCTTCATTACTAGCTCTCCCATCACAGGCACAGATCTGCCCCGAACCTCGGACCAAACAGTACCTCTTGCTTCCCTTCCTTCATGGTATCCTTTGTCGTTGACTGACTGCCCCCATCCCCCCGAAATGAGTCCCTTCACTCATATTTAGCATCGAATGTTCTGTCTGACCGTCTCAGTCGCAATAATGAACGCATACAGCATTCGATGGCGCGGACCCAAGAAGAGATCAAGTCAAGATCATTCAAGAGGTTTAGCGAATCCGATACTCCTGACTCAAGCCTGATACAGAATCCCACGAGAAATAGAATTTGGCAGCCCCCCCTCCTGTTGCTCGTACTACACCATCAGGGCTATCTCAAAGCAGGCCGACATTGTTCTTTAGCCCAGCCATAGCTGCACCACAGGGGTTTTGTTAGTACTAAATACCCTCTCTCGCCGACAAGTATCTCTCAGCCGCTGTACTTCGCTGTACGGACGCTCAACAAGGGTACTGCCCGCTCACTCCGTCAACGCCGGCTCTACAAGTCAACAATAGATAAGCTATTCCAGACGCAAAGAGTATATGATGACTCTCCATTACAACAAGCGATTGCTCACTGACCTATACCGCACAAGAATGGGGACACCGTAAACATCCAGCCTGCTTACGAGGTCCATGTCCCAGGTTGGAACATATTCCAAGCACGAGAGGACGTAAATCATACAGCAATGCCAAAGTCCAAGTTTCTCATATCGACCCTGACCTGTTGCTTACGAGACTTCATTCTTTTCAGTATCGCCGGTGGATATCAGCACCCAAGCAAGCACAGACAGTATTCGTTGGGACAGTCATACTCTGCCGCCGACACAGTATCATCCAACTCATCTTCGTAATTGCCTAGCGCTCGGCTTGTACACGACATCGTATGTCATAAAGAACGATATTGAAAGGTAGACGTATTATTTCCTCTCTATGAGATCACTCACTGTTTGCGTAGCACGTGTGCGGCGGTCAACATCTCGTGAACACCATCACAGCATCAGCCCCCCACTTCCCACTTCATATCACGGGCACAGTTCCATCGCGTTGGCCCAAGATAGCAATTCATGCACTCAGAAAACGAGCGAACCACCCTCCAGGAGAAGCATATCCCGTCACGCAAAGAACCTGCCTGATGGTGGTTATGTTACTTCGCCATATCTCACGTATACGTTCATCACCAGAAGAGCACGTGGTCACTTCCGTACACGTATACAAACACAAACCTTTACGGATACCCTATTGTTAAATCTCCTTGCACATGATCTGATTTCGTACCACACTCCCACAAAGCACGCACATACACATCCCCGACAAATGGAAATACAAACACGCCCCCCATCCCCAGAATTTCGCAACTCCGACCACTGACATCTCCCCTCCCCTCCCCTCCCCCAAGGGGCAACCTGCACGAGGGACTCAGGTAGAGACAGCGCCCCGGAACTGGCCGACCTGCGTATGTGGAGAGGTACTCCATCCGGAGTACACATGAACCAAAGAAAAAAAGGAAAGAAGAAAAACCCTCACCTAAACACGGGAAATCTTGGCGGGGAGCCCGAAGATCAATCCCCCGCCCGCCCCTCCATTGACAATTCCCTTGCGACTGTCGATCTTTCGGGTATAAAAAAGACATTTTTGTGGAAACATACGAATTTTCTCAGGGAGAGGAGAAGAACGTGGGGAATAAAACAACCAAAAAAACCCGTTACCCGCGTGCCCTGCTTAGGAGAACCGGACCGAAGGGAGTGTTGCAAGACAAGGCGGGTATCCTCTGTAGGGATGTTCCCAATGCCCGGCGTTCCTGGAGACGGTTGCCTCCCCCTCCCACCCGCCGGAATACGAAATGCATTGGCATCTTGGCAAGCCTTGTTGCGGAGACGAGCATACGGAATCCGACAGCGAGAGGGAAGAAAAAGAAAGCAGTTTGGCCCAGAAGAGCTCAGGAGGGGGACGATGTCTCGAGACTGCTGATGCGATGTCGCCATTTGTGGCAGGTCTGCCAAGTCAGGGGAAGAGGTGACCAGGAATCATTCCTGTTGGGCCAGAAACGAAATGTCGTGGGCACATTTGTGAGGCTGACATCTTTGCAACGGGATGGCGCAGCGCAGGTCTGAGACCCCCTGAGTGAGATTTGCTGGAATTGCAATTGTTAGGTCAGGCTGTCAGCTTTGGGAGCTGAAAAGAAAAAAGCCTCGTCAGGTCAGACTTGCAGTAAGCAAATGCACTCGCTACATGTGCAGCTTGTCGAAGCCTACCAGGGAGCTCACACGACAAACGTGTGTTATCCAACCTCCCAGGCAGGACCTTGTTTCCAATTTTTCCCACTTGTTCTGCAAAATTTCGGCTTGGGCGTTATGATAAAGCCAACTGAAGTATGCTGCCGCACGCACGCGGGGACACGTAGAGCCCGTGACTCGGCCCCGGGCCGGGATCCTCAGTTCGTGCCCGACCGGTCGGGGTGGACCGAGGCGAACGTGATTGGACTACCTCTCACAGTCACAGCCCGCACGAACGGGACTGCAGGCAAGAGGCGGGGGAAAGCTCTAAATTTTCGGGACAAGCACGCGTTGCATGGGGCCGAGGGAAACCATAACTTGCAGGTGAATATCGGGGTGCATGCATGACAGGCTTTAGATGCGGATCTTTGGCGAGCCGATCAGCTTCGTAGGTGCAGACAACTGATCTCGTACATCGCGGTGCCCGCGGAAGTGTTGCGTCCCTCACGGGCAGAGATTTCTTCGCTGGCTGCTCCAGGGTTTGACGACGAGCGGACGAAGGAAGACTGGGCAGACCTCATTGAGGTCTGGTTGCGCGCTCGGACGACGTCTCGTGGGACGGCCGTTTGGCAGGCCATTTGGCATTGCCAGCGAGTCCGTCAGACGCTCTGATGGATATGGCCGCGCCTAATGACCCGCTAAGAGCTCCCTCGTGGCTGCGTGGCATCCCGCTTGCGCCGCTTGCGGCGACAAAGCTTCTATCGGGCGTCTGTTGACCGAAGCCATTACGCCTGTGTTAAGCCACTGGCTCAGGTAAGAGTGCCGCGATGGAGGCACGAAGGTTGGGTTAAGGTCATATGCGGCGGTTCAGGGCACCTCCCGCGAATCCAGACTCAACCGCTACAATTCCACCCATCCAAACGTCATGTTAGTCGTGGGTTGTAAAGCCAAGTATGGGAGAAACTTGGTCAATTGGGGCAAGGTTCATAGGAACCGCTGATTCTGCTAGTACCCCATAGACGGCATACGCCGGCGAGATTAAGATCGACCCGGAGTTATGGGAGGTGGGAGTGCACGACTACGGCATCGCCTTTTTTCGACCCTTGGAAGATCTGGACCCTGGATACTTGATAACCCACCCGGAAACGAGCAGACGTCTGGTCGAGACTCTGAACTACGAAGCGTTCGCAGCCAACGTCGCTTAATGCCAAGCTCCATGTGCCGATTCGCATCATAGTGGCGGATATTTTCAAACAAAGAGAACGGAGCTCCAAGGTACTCCGTACCGCAAAGCTTTGGCTCTCGTAGACGCAACCGAGCCATAGGCAAGCAGATGGGCGATTTTGGACCCTGAGCGATGGTTGAGTGACGTGGGGAGGCAGGGAATCAACTGCCTCGCAGTGCAGGAGCTTCGGGATGAACAGAGCTTCCCATTCTGACACACGACAATCCGCAATACGGCCGTGGCTGACGGCCACGTCCACTGCTATGGCGACACGAATGCACTGACGGTAGGAAATCTTGCGCTCGCAGGAGCAAGGCAGCAGAATTATGTTGTGGGGAAAGCTGTCTCTGGAGGAAGGCTGTGCGTTTGCTCGTCCATAGTCTGACCGTCCGAGCTCGAGGTGTTGGGAGTCTTGGGGTGGGAAATAGGGGATGATCTGACGTATGGTGCATTGTCGATGGGCCGAACAGGGAGCGGGTTTATGCAGTGACGCGGAGAGTGTTATGCAAACTACCAGCGGTTGGTCTCTGATCTCTGGCGCTAGCAGAGGTTTCCAAGGCAAGGCTGGGGTCCCAAACGATGGTGGTCGGGATATGCTGTATGTCAGTGGTTCTCCTAGAGTCTTGGTTGCTCAGTGGTGCTGTAGGGGCACATGCATGTCAGGTTCAGGTGCTCTTGTGTAGGTAATCCATCGTCCCATCAGTTGCGCGCGTGAGATGGATGGGACGGTGTGGTTTGTGTCTGCATGGTGGTTGCATTCTCGCGAAGCCGGTTGCAGCCAAGTCAGGTACGGATGCATGAGGTGTGGGATGAGGTTTTTAAGTTTGGTTGGCTGGAAGGATCATCGAGATATCCGCAGCCCGAGGCCAAAGTCGACCACGATGCGATGCAGATGCAGATGCAGATGCAGAGCTGCAGCACCGGCCGTACTCGAACGAGCTTGATCTGTTGCAACAATCGAGCACTCGCCATTTGCCAATCCCTTTCGTTCGTGTCGGGCTTGCCTAGACCACGATGCAGTGGGAATTGGCCATGATCGTGAAAGCAGGTCTCGACTGTTGATGTCAAATAAGAGAACAAAGAGGGAGAGGCATAGAGTATCGGTATCGACCGAATGACAGGAACAAGAAGCCGCAACGGGAATAGTCGAGGTTCAGTATTGATAGCGCGATGCGGTTCAAGACCCGACGACTGTTGCAACCGCGCTTCGTAGCGGCTACCTCGTTGGACCAAAGGACCGAAGTCTTTACCCCAGAGTGCCGGCCTCCAGGTGGGGGTGGAGAGTTGGAAGAGAACAAAGAGACGGGCGAGGCGGCCTTGTCAATCGTTGCTCACTGGAATGCTGAACTGTCGCTTGTCTTCCATCGGGCCCAAGCATGTTTCCTCAAGGAGGGAAAAAATCTGCCATTTGGCGCGGCCGTGGCTGTGGCTGGATTAGCACGTCACTATACGTAGACGCTACGCTGAGACCAAGGGTCCCAGCGTGCCGAACACGGCGTGCTGCAAACCCACGGAGCAGACTTCAAGGGTTCACGACCGTCGACACTGCTGTGATGTTGGCCATGATCCACGTAAAGATCGAGGTTGGCGGCTTCGTGGCAAGTTGGTTGAGGTGAGACCGTGAGAAGTTCGTGAGCAGTCTAGGCGAATGGACAGACGGGTGGCTTCCACCACGGGAGATCAGTCAGACTGGACCTTGGGCTTGTGGAGATGACAAGATGTACTTTGGAGGTACCTCGGGAGTTCCACCACGATATGAAGGGTCGTGGTTGTTGATGAGCGTATCCGTACTGTTTCTTTGCAAGGAGTCTTGGAATCGGACAAGCAAATGAACGAGTCGATAGGTTGTTTGGATGCCTCTCCTTTACCCTTGACTCTTGACTGTCGCGAGAAGAGACTCTGGTTGAGTTGGGACTGACCGCCTGCGGTGAAGAGTTGCCGCCTTTTCCATGCAGAGGTTTCGAACCCACACGATCGGTTAGTTGCATCAGATGTTGTCTTGTTGGAAAATGGAGAAGCTGAGGAGAAGAGATCCATCTGGCAAAGTGACAGGTCACAAAAGGCGTCCCCGAAGTGCGACGAGGCAGGCACGGAGTACCGGAGACGGGTACTTGCCTGGTTGGTGAGTCCACCGTTGCTCCTCTCACCTCACCTCTCACCTCCAAGTACCTTTGGATGTACCTCCCTTCACCACCTCACCTCACCTCACCTTGCCTCACCATGGGCAGCGTAGGTACGCTGAGGTAGGTATTGCATTCAAGTTGCTTAGCTAAGGCAGCTTCGGTTGATCCTCGCCCTCACTCAGTGAGACACTGATACCTACTGACTGTGAGCCCCTCAGTGAGGGGACCCAAGCAGTAGTGTACGTACCCAGCCTCGCTCCGTCACCAGCTCAGCCCAGCTTCCAGCGGGTCCTTCGGGCCTGCAATCCCCACTACAACCCACTGGACGAACACCCTTTGACACCCAAATTAGCACTCGCTGAGGGTTGTCGTCACGGTGAACCAGACAAGCCAGAACAACATGGCCAGGCTGTCCCTGGTTGCCATCCATGAGATCCAGGAACCTGCCCCCTTCTCGAAAAACAACACACTCGCAACATGAACGCGCAACACGCACGACACCACCACCACCAATGTCTAAAGGGCAACTCGTGCGAGAGATTCTCCTTGGGATCACCTTGGGAAGTAGGTATTCCGTAACTCCGTAGAGGAGTGCAGCAAGGTTTGCTTGGCCTTTTCGTATCCATGTGGTCCATCGGAAAATACCACCAGTCAGGATGCAATGGATGAACAATGGCACCATCTGATCGACCATCCGTGTGACGAAAAGCCCGCCGTTCCTGGATCTGCCACGGTGATGGTCAAACAGAACTGGACCGCTTGTTTGAGCCCCAGAGGCCCTTGAGCAAGCCTGTCTTGCCTGTCTTGCCCTTTTTCTTTTCCCCGATTCGATCCCTTTTTCGGATAGGCAATGAGGCACGGGGGTGTACTTTTGTGAGGGGATGCGAGACACGGGAACTGAAGAGCTGCCACACCAACTCATCGAGGCTTCCTTTGGCTTCTGATTGAATGTCGGCAGCTGCAAGCTCCAGGAGAGGGATTCGGTGGATGATCTGAGACTCAGAGGACGGAGGCAGGATGAACAAGGCCCGAGACGGGATGGCAGCATTGGCACTGTCATCATCAGGATGGGTTGATGAGGGGATGCCAACTGCCGTCCACCCATCCAACGTCATCCTGTACTAGCATTCTGAAAGAGAGGAAGGATAGCTGGACGTGTTATGATCTGAGGCCAGGGAATAAGCCAGCAAGCACCATCACCAACACCACTGACTGCGGCGGCATGCGGCGGCGGGCCTGCCTTTTTTGCTGCCCAGGGTGCTCACTGCACAGGACTGACGCGAGCGTTTCGTCTACAATGGGCAAAAGGGAAACAAAATTGCCAGCCGTCAACGCAAGATTCCCGAAGCCGGGATGCCTGTCTTGTTCGTTGCATCAGCCACCGTCACATATTATCTTGTGGGATGGGCAACACAAGGCGACCGGAGTGGTTGGGGTGTAATTTGAGTGCAAGTAACTGAAACGATTCTTATTTTTTTTTGAATTTTAATTCTGCGTCTACGGATACTGCGTATGGATCAGGTATGTCTGGGTATCACCGCTGCTGGGTAAGGCAACCTGTGCCTGTGTAAGAGTGGGATTTGTTTGGGCTCTGTTCATCTGATTCTAATGGATAACATCAACAACAAATCCATGCCAAATGGGATTTCAGCCATGATGTGAAGTCTTTCTGCCCAAGGCTCGCATGTTTGGTTTGCCATGACCGGACGATAGTAGTCGATAAACCATGCAACTTGATGCAAGAGAATGGGCACCTATTCAGACCCATCCATCAGGTATAGAGTACCCGTACGTGTGGTGATGAGTGGCTATTTTTGCCCGTATTTTGTCACTTTGTTTTGTGCCCGCATTCCCAATTTCTCGCTTCTCTTCTTCTTTTCCCGACTCCATTCAGTGATCCTCGCCCACATTGCTGCTGCCCCCCCCCCCCTGCCGGGCCTGCCCTCGTTCTTGCAGATACGCTAAAGAGCCGAGAGGGAAAAGAGGACCATTGCCGGGGTTTCCTTCTCGTTTTCCCTTGCCAAGTTGCCGTTACACCCCTGTCTTGGTGCCCTCTTCTCGGCCCTCGTCCACGTCGTCTTCGGTTCTCACCTACGGGTTTTCCGCACCGCCTATTTCGTCCACCACCACTTGCTAGCTAATACTTGCCATCGTACGGAAAGCAATGCTCCCGGGGTCGGGACTTGTAGGGGGTGTGCGAGGATTAGACTGTAGAAACAAAGGACAGCAAGAGAAGATAGACCAGAGAGAGAACGCCAAAACCAGATGATCCCGCTCAGACAGCGCGCTAAAAGTGAAGGAGTGAAAGAAAACCAAAGTTGCCAAAGAAAAGGTACATGCGAGGTACGTCCGAAGAGTACAGGGGGGGAGGCACTGGGGGGCTTTGGACACAGAGCGCAGCATTGCATCAACACGGACCATTCTGCACTACTGGCGCAGTACGGAGTACCTACGCCTCCACCCCAACCTGCCTGTAATGGCATGAGCGATGGGCGATGAGAGGTTCCCAATTGTCCTGTCCATGTCTTTCCTCTTCTTCGTCTCCAACTTGTGCTTGTTGCGGAACCCACTTGGTGCAACGCCCACCGCCGAAATACACTCTCTCTCTCAACCAGATAGTACATACTCCGTACAGAGTGCCAGAATCCCAGAATCCCAGGCTCTAGCCCAGCCCGCCCGTCCATCTTCCCGCTCCTCGCGACTCGTTTCCCAAACCCGACTCAGCCTTACTTCGCTTTATGAACCCTGCATAACTTACCAGCAACGGCATCTGGGATCCTTTCTCTCTGTGTCTGTGTCCAAGTTCGAAGCCCCTTTCTGATGTACGGATACACCCATTGCTACTAGGTACGGAGCATGTACTCGGACCTGGCAATCCCAATCCCAATCCCAAATCCAATCCCACCACGCCCGTCCATCATCCACCTACCTCACTACATATACCGCCCCGACCTCCCACCTCATCCAAGCCTCTCTCCTTGTGCTCTCCTACTCACCTCTCCAACCCGACGTTGCGTGATCACATCATCCCCTTACGACCGAGTACGAGCTACTGCCCTAATCACACACCCGATTACAAGCTGCATACGAATATGAGCAGCACCCCCTACTGCTCAGGACCGAGGATAGGAAGAGTTGGCTTTTACGACGTTTACCACCCACGACCGACACGATCCACCAACAGATAATTTTCTACCCGTTCCGCTATTGTTACTGTTGTAAAACAGGTATCACTTCGCATACACACACATTCCAAAACCAACAACTACCACCAGGCCCATCAGTCAGAGCCGTGGGCACGAGACACAACGACAAGATGGGCAACATGGCGAGACAGGTCCAGAACACCGACTACTCGGACGACGAATACGGAGCCGAGGACGCCTACTTCACCTACCGACCCCTCTCCAACCTTCCCACCCCGCCACCTTCATCCAGGAATTCTTCCGCCCACCAGAGCCCGAAAACGGCCTTGGAAGAAGGCGACATCCTGCAAGAAAAGTTCCTTGGTACGTGCAGCCCGAATTACGTGATGGCGGATGGGGAAAGAGCTTTGGCAACCCTTACAGACTTTACCCCGTCTTGCTCCAACGCCCGTTCGTTCGATGGGCATGCTCCAAATGCAATATATTATATGCAATGTAATGCTAACCTCCGCGCGCTTACAGGCCCCGCCATCCACCTCGTCAACCTCGTTCCCACGTCAGCTTCCCTCACGACCCCGTCGGTGCCTCTGGTCCAGGCCATGCTCAGCCGGTCCGGCCTCCCGCTCGAGACCATCGCCTTGGCCGTCTGCATCCTCGACTCTCTCAACTCCAAGTTCGCCCTGAGCTGGCGCTTGCAGTGCCCCCTGCTCGTCGACGGTTCTTCCTACAATAAACGCCACACTCTTGGCCACAGCCCTCTCCTCGATCGCCGCCGCCAGCAGCAGCTGCACATCGACTCGGTCCAGCCCGAGCTCATCATCCTGTCTGCCCTCATCATCGCCGCCAAATTCACCGACGACTGCCACGACTCGACGTCATACTACTCGTCAAATTGGGGCAAGGACACTTGGTCGTGCGAGCAGATCAACGTAACGGAACGCTGCATCTGCGAGAACCTCAACTACCGCATCAAGCCCCTGGTCGACGATGAGGATCTGCTCGCCGACACTATGGTTGACATGCAGCTGGCCGCACGGCACTACAACTCGGCCCGCCCTGTCCAACCCCACGAGATGGGACACAGCAAGAGCAAGAGCATGACGATCGGTACTGCCGTGATTGGTTTGGGCCTGCAGCTGACGCCCGTCGACACGCCCAAGTCTGAGGTCGAGTCGTTTGGTGACGAAGTGCGTGCGGCTCTTGAGAAGACGACCTTTGGCGGGGATTACATGTCCCTGACCTTTTCCGGTAACGACATGGGTCTGTCTCCAGTTGGCGAGGAGTTTTGAGGAACGAAGATGGAAAAAAGGGACGACGGGACAATCAGCGAGCGAGCGTTTTTGTTTGATTGTCATGATGGTTGATTTGCATGCCCTGTGGGATTCCGAGAGGATATTTCGCACATTTGCATAAGTCTCACTGGCTTATTGTATACTGAGGGGGCGACATCATTTTTTCCAAAGCTTGAACGTTTTTAGGATACCAAAACCTCGGCCTCGACGAGGGCTTGACGGGTTACGCATTTTGTAATTTTTCTTGAGCGATCAAACTGGGCTGGCGTATATGGTGGATAAGGGGTGTCATCGGTATCGGATTGGGGGGTTTGGGATCAGGGTCGCGACACTGGAAACCATGGTTCATCTTTTTATCATACCCTATTTGGTAATGTAGTCCTGGAAAGACAAATTTCTCACTTTTACACATTGTTCCCTCGCTGTGATTGTGTATGATGAGTGATGGTATTTTGACTTGACAAAAAAAACCCAAGTTCACATGTCTAACCTAGAAACTACACCATCACCGCCTAAGGGCTCAACCTGTTGATCGTCCACTTATCCTCCTCGCCCTCCACCTTGTCATACACAAACCGGTCATGAAGCCGACTATCCCTCCCCTGCCAAAACTCAACCCTCTCCGGTACGATCCTCAACCCGCCCCAAAACTCGGGCACCGGAATCGTCTCCTGGCCCTCGAACCGCTCCTCCACCTCCTTCACCCACCCCTCCAGCTGCGCCCTCCCATCGTCCTTCTCCCCTTCCTCGCCTCTCACCCCTTCCTGCGGCTCCAGCACCTGACTCTGCCGCGAAGCCCACGCCCCGATCCGGCTCCCGCGCACGCGCGTGTCGTAGTACACCTGGCTCTCCTCCCTCGTCAACCTCTCCGCCCTGCCCTCGACTCTGACCTGCCTCTGCAGCGCCTCCCACCAGAACGTCAGGCTCGCGTGCGGGTTGGAGGCGAGGTCGGCTGCCTTGCGGGAGGTGCCGAGGTTGGTGTAGACTACGAAGCCGCCCTTGGCGTCGAGTTCTTTGAGGTAGACCATGCGGGCGGAGACGCGGCCGGACGGCAGGGAGGCGGTGGAGAGGGTCGCGGTCTCCGGGTGGGAGACGGCGCGGGTTTGTTGGGCTGCCGTGAACCAGGTGTTGAACTGGTGGGTTGGCGAGGTCGGGTGCAGGGAGGGGAGGGAGAGGCGGCCGAGGGTGAATTGGTCTGCGCGGGTGTTTTGGGAGGAGCCGGCGGGTGCGACTGTGATGTTAGTTTTTGTGTTCTGTTGGGGGTTTGTGGTGAGGGGGTTGGTGAGGTGAGATGGGAGGGGAGCATGAGAGTGAGATGAGGGGCGTTCTTTCCCGGCGTCTTCGTCATCCAGTGATCCGGTGATCCGGCCTTTTCACTCTCATCGTGCCTCTTCACCCGGGGATGTCATGCTACGCAGATCAAAAGGGCAGTGGTGAGAACTTACAGATGAGCTTCTCGCTCTCGGGAGGCGGGTGTAGAGCCATCTTGAGCGATCTCGAGAATCTGTAAGCGAAGCCGGGCCTCATATGCGAGAGGTCGAATGTTCACCTTGGCTGGTGAGTAAGTGGTCTTGTTTACCAGAACTTCCTCATTACCCAACTTTCATCAGCTGATGGAGAAGACGGGCAGAAGAAAGTTGATTGTTTCGTGACTCAATGAAAAGCGACTCACGAGGAAATGCTAGGATCGACGTCCAGATCAATTGCAGCCTGAAAGTTCGCGCTTAGGTACGTAAAATGTCGAGAGTAAGTTGATGCGGTGTGTTTGATGTGTGTAGACCGGCGTGTAAAGGGTGAGGTGATTTACGCGTCTGAAAAGGCGGTTGCAGTGTCATGTCATGACTTGGTAACTTTCCCTCTCATGATGCTTGCATTTGGAGTGAGGGGCACCGCAAGCTGCAAAAAACGCCCCACATTCTCGAAGCACGTTGCTGAGGGTGGACAGCCGCAGAATGTTCCACCCGTTCTTCTCCCCTGCCCACACACCTACAACGTACTACGTAGACACTCAAACACCCAGACATCGTATTGTATGTAGGTAGGCGCAGCCGCGCAGCGCGCAGAACACCCACATTGCGGAGCTCAGATGCGGAGCAGGGATCAGCCCAGCACATCAGTCCTCCGATCGGACCACTTGATGACTACACATTGAGAGACGTCACATATAACAATAGAATACACACAAAACACACGTACACGCAAGACACACACATAACGCAACAGACCAAACAAACGTATTTCATTCCGTACAGACGACGGGTAGGGGGTATCATATCGTAAACAAACGTCATCCAGGTACGCAAGATACGCAACGTACGCAACAAACGTAGCGAACGCAACGCACTATACGCACTACCCAAAACACCTCTAAACCCAAATAAAAACATGTAATCCCTCTTACACCACGACGTCGTGATGGCGCGAGCCAAACAACGGACGTCTTGACGGCGCGCTTTCTTATACGCCAATTTTGAGGAATAGTTGCTTCCTACTTTGTGTGTGTGTGTCTATACTATAATCCCGATGAAAAAAGAAAAAAGCCCGAAAACCCAAAACACCAAACTGTTCTAAAAACTTTTCTGCACGTGTGCATTTTGTGTTCTCATGTCCAAGTTCCCCGTACAATTAGGAAAGAAAGCCAAAAGAAAACTTCATCTCTATGGTGCCATAACCAACGCAAGCAAAGCCATGCGGCAGTACAGACCATATCTCATCTGTGCAACTTGTCAGCATTCTGTTCAAACCTCAAGAGTCAAGGGACTTACCTGTCTGAAGTAAGCCGCACGCTGGTCAGTGTCAACCTCGGGCGCAATCTCCTCGTTTCTCGGGAGAGGGTGCAGGATGCACATGTCTCTCTTGGCCGACTTGAGGGTGCGGTTGTCAATGCGGTACGAGTTCTTGACCTTCTCGTAGTCCTCCACCGTCGGGAATCTCTCCTTCTGGACGCGAGTGCAGTAGAGCACGTCGCTCTTGGCCAGGATCTCTGGAGTAAGCTCCTCAGACTCGCAAAGGAGCTGGCCAGACTCGACCAAGAAGTTGCGCACATCGGTAGGCAAGGCAAGTCCCTTGGGAGAGACAAGTTGAACCTGGACACCGTAGTCGCGGAGAAGGTAGATCAGGGAGTGGACAGGGCGACCGTAGAGCAGGTCACCAACGAAGGTGATGGTGAGACCCTGGACGGTACCGAGCTCCTCACGAATGGTGAAGAGATCAAGGAAGGCCTGAGTAGGGTGCTCCTTGCTACCGTTGCCTCCGTTGATGACGGGAACGGGAGAGTATCTCTTAGCAATCTCCACGCTGTGCTCGTCAGGGTGGCGGAGCACAACGGCGTCACCGTAGCAACCGAGGGTGCGCAGAGTGTCCTGGAGAGACTCGCCCTTCTGCACCGAGGATTGAGAGGTGGCAATGGCGACGGTGCGGCCGCCAAGTCTCTGCATCGCGGCATCGAAGGAGGCAGAAGTGCGGGTCGAAGGCTCGTAGAACAAGGTGCACAGGACCCGGCCCCGCAGAACGTTCAAGACACCCTCGCGCTGGACGCCCAGGCGCATCTGCTGAGCCACAGTGAAGAGGTGGTGAAGGTCAGCACGGGTGTACTGGCTGACAGACAGGCAGCTGTGGCTCTTCCACGACGAGGGCTGCGACAGGAGGTCCTGAAGCTTGGAGCCAACGGCGGGGTGGAGAGGGGCGGGAAGACCGAGGTCCTCGAAGCCGCTGTTGCTCTTGTTGGGCAGGTAGCCGTCGGTGGGACGAAGCTTGGTGGGCCTGGAGGTGTTGAACAGCGACGGGCGACGGTCACGAGGGCTGTCAGGGTTGGTCAAAGACTGCAGCTGAGGCTTGATCGCAGGGGACATGGGCAGAGCACCGTGAGTGGACATGTCCTTGCCAAGAGCAGGCAGAGCCAGCAGCTCGCCATCCAGGCAGACGGTCTGGTCCTGGAAGGTCACACGCTGGACCGAACCGCGCATGGTGCGGCCAGCGAAGGGAGACCAGCCGTTGGTGTTGTGGACAGCGTAGGGACGGTCAATCTCAACCTCGACGCTGGTTCCAACCTGTTCATGGAGCTCAAAGATCTCCTTGGGGTTGTCGTAGAGACGAGCCTTGATGTCGTCGACGGTCAGCTTGCCCTCAGTAACGGAAGTGAGGAGCAGGGGCAGAGCGTCGGCGATGCCAACGGAAGGATCGGCGGTCTTGCCCAGAGAGCTAGCAAGCTGGTAAGGCAAGCTGCCAATGGAGAAGACGTCGATGGTGCTTAGGTGAGCCCAGAGAGCGTTCTGGTCGGCCTTGGTGGGGAGCAGAGCACAGTCGGGGAAGTCATCCTGCGAGAGGTACAGGGAGAAGATGGACACGTCGCAGGTGACCTTCAAGCCCTTGGCCTTGCTAAGGGCAATGAGCTTGATATCGTCCTTGGTGGAGACCGAGGTGACGTGAATTCTCCGGTTGTGCAGGCTGGCCAGGAGCAGGATGGAAGCCAGGTCGGTGAGCTTGGCATCAGTGACAATGGGCTTGTGCGCAGGCCACTTGTCAAAGTGGGCAGTCACGGCAGCGACCTTGCTGATGTTTCCAGACAGGTGGTTGAAGGGGATGAAGAGAGATCCGACCTCACCGGTGACGTGGCTGATACGGTCAGAGTTGTCAGAGGTGGCAGTGACGGAGAAGTTGAAGTCGCAGAATCCACCCTGCTTGCTGCTCTGCTGGGCGACCTTCAGGCTGACAGCATCCGTGATTGAGCCATCGACGCCGACAGGCATGATGCGGACCATGCTGAAACCGGCGGAGAGCGAGGCCTTGGTAACAGCCTTGAGATCCTTGCTTCCGGCAGTAGCAATACCAGGTACAAAGGCAGCGACGTTGATCAAGCCAGGCAGAGAGATGGTGCGGTGGCTGGTCTGGAAGTCGCGGCTGCCGACCTCGAGTCCGAAGTGGCGGGCAATGGCCTCAACGAGAATCTTGGCGTTCTTGACGTTGGTGACCAGAGGAACCTGGTAGTCGACGGCCATACGTCTGGTCTGGTAACCCTTACTCATGTAGTTGGCGGGACGGCGGTACTTGTTGTTGGAAGGCAAGTTGATGTAGAGATCAATCATATTCTTGGCCAAGTGCTGCGTAAGGGAGAACTCGGAACGCTGGTCCTCCTGCTCGTTGGCAAGGACTTCCAGGTACTGAACGGGAATGTTGTGCTCCTGGAGGAAGTCGGCAGTACCGGCGGTAGCGAACAGCTTGTAGCCGAGGCGGGCAAGCTTGTCGATGGCGGGCAGCATCTCCTTCTTGTCCTTGTAGGAACCGATGGACAGAAGGATGTTGGCCTTGGGGATCTTGAATCCGGTGGACATCAAAGCCTTGAGGTAGGCTTCGTACTTGTCTACACCGAAGCAAGCAACTTCACCGGTGGAAGCCATCTCGACACCCAAGACGGGGTCTGCGCCGGAAAGACGGGAGAAACTGAACTGGGGAACCTTGACACCGACGCAGTTGGGGGCGATATCGGTAGCAGGGTAGGCCTCGAATGGCTTGCCAGTGATGGCCTTGGTGGCCATCTCAATCATGTCGACACCCATGACCTTGGAAACGAAGGGGAACGATCGAGAAGCACGAACGTTGCACTCGATGACCTTGATGTCGTTGTCCTTGGCGATGAACTGAATGTTGAAAGGGCCAGTGACGTTCAGAGCAGCACCAATCTTGCGAGTTGCCTCCTCGATTCTGGCAATGGTCTCGGGCTCCAAGTCCTGAGGGGGCAGGATGAGAGTGGCGTCACCAGAGTGAACACCGGCATTCTCGACGTGCTCAGAGATGAAGTGGCCAATGACAACACCGTCCTTGGCAACAGCATCCATCTCGATTTCCTTGGCGTTCTCAATGTACTTGGTAATAACGACAGGGTGCTCGCGGGAAACCTCAGCAGCCTGGGCCAAGTAGTTCTCGAGATCCTGCTCGGAGTAGACAGTGTTCATCGCAGCACCCGAGAGGACGTAAGAAGGTCGCACCAACACGGGGTAGGAGACGGCGTTGCAGAACTTCTTGGCCTCGTCGAAGCTGGTCAACTCCTTCCAGGTGGGCTGATCAACACCAATGGTGTCCAACATACGAGAGAACTTGTAGCGGTTCTCGGCGTTATCAATCATCTCAGGAGAGGTACCAAGAATTTTGATGCCAGCGCGGTGGAGCGGCAGAGCAATGTTGTTGGGGGTCTGTCCACCCATAGCACCGAGGACACCACCAGCGCCTTCCAGCTGGTAGATATCAAGGATGGACTCCAAGCTGATGTTCTCGAAGTAGAGCTTGTCGGCCTCGTCGTAGTCGGTACTGACAGTCTCCGGGTTGTAGTTGACCATAATAGTCTTGAAGCCATCCTGGCGCAGGGTGCGAATAGCGCGAACAGAGCACCAATCGAACTCAACGGAAGAACCAATGCGGTAGACACCAGATCCCAAGACCATGATACCGTGGTCATCGAAAGACACATCACTCTCGGTCGCATTGTAGGTCAGGTAGAGGTAGTTGGTGTGAGCAGGGAACTCAGCAGCAAC